AAAGTAATCTAATCATCAAAATCACCCAAGGCTACTTCGTGTAACACTTAAGAATGCTACCGACGTATAGGATGTCCTGCTAGCTAGTCATTTACTGAAATCCGATGGGAACGTAAGAATACTGCCCGACATACCGTATTCTGAGCGCAATCTCATCCGGAACACCCCTAAAGAATCTCGTGAGTTTTTCCGCGGAAGAAATATAATTATGCAAGGTGTACCGGAAAACACGAACCCTAGTCAAGCAAACTCTGATATTAGGGAATGAAAATTCATCAAGCTGTCCTTGATGCTCAAAAACATACTGACTCAATGTGTGACGAGACTAGCCAAGAAGGACGGTGATTCTAGACCCCAGCTAATGAGGATAGCTTTACCATCCTCTCACATGGCGACTGCAACTCTGGAAGCGCTTCGTGCCAAAAGATGTCGGTTGCCAACTGGAATCTGTAGAACTTATGGTCTACTATGATATTAGTACTGCTCTAATAATAGACCTAATCCTAAATTTGTAGATATGTCATGATATAACTGCCTAATCTATAAGATCTTACGTGGAAGTCACACCATCGACTACACCAACTCACTGTATCGTATCAATTACCAATACATGATGTAGAACAAAATTCGGCTAGAGAAAGAACAATATATTTAGTATGAATAGAAGATATAAGGTAACATTCAGCAGAGACCACGCCTGCATGGCCGAGCCATGCCATTCGATCAACTCCAGTATATTCAATTCATTATTCGCGCCTTCTCCATCGTTAGGTATTTCTTCGCGTTAAATATTGAATACCTATTTTCCGAGTAATCTCGTATTCAGCTTTGAGGATAGTGTGGTTATGGTCCAATGCCACTACAAATCCATATGCACCCGGACAGGCCATACGAAGCCAGGACCAAGCACAAAGGCAAGTTGGAGCTGACCATTCCACTTGTGGACCGTCTTGTTCATAAAAAAAAACGTGTAAAGGTCAGCGCCTACCAACTCGACAAACATTATATAGGTAGACTACCTGTTCATTCACGTAAGGCTCATACAAACAAACATGAAGGAGAAGATCACACGTTTCAACTTGAAAGCATAAACTGCTTATACATGAACGCCGCGAGTCTACCAAATAAAATGGGTGAGCTACGTGAACTTAGTAATGCTAATAAGGTTCATCTGATAGGAATATCTGAAACTTGGGTATCTTCTCAGTTCTCGGACCAGGAGCTAGCAATACATGGGATGTCTTTGTTACGCAACGACAGAAAAGCAGGAATTGGGGGTAAAGTAGCCGTATACATACGATCTTGCTTGGAGGTACACCAAGTTCACAACCATGAGTTTAACAATCTTGATGAATCTGTATGGTGCTCTGTAAGATTGTCTACTACTTCGAGGTGCCTAGTCGGAGTCATATATAGGAAGCCCACTGCTGACATCGAGTATGATAGTCGTATGCTGGAAGGACTATCCCGCTCTACGCGTCTCGGTTTCACTCATATCCTGATCCTGGGGGACTTCAATCTCCCTAGAGTCCAGTTCGCGGAACATACGTATATTGGAGGTGAAAACTCAACTGAAGCTCGGTTCTTCAACCTCATTGAGAATTTGGGATTATACAGAAATGTGAAGTCGGCAACTCGTTGGAGAAAGTCAGACACCATCGCGCTTAGATTGTGTATTTACAGACGGAGGATTTCTAGTTGACAACTTCTCAATCCTGGTTCCCCTGGGGGGAAGCGATCACGCCCAGGATTCCTTTAGGAAGCAACCTGACCTATTCTTAGGGACTGAGGATTACATCTTATTATAAGCTACCAACTTCTTTTTTCCTCTCATCGTTAATATACTTAGGTTCTTCCATGTAAGTATTGGTGATCCCCTACTAGACACGGAAACCTGTTAAGCGAATGCTTCTATTCCGTCCACAACCATTTGAACTAATATACCCAATCTCCCGATTTCGGGAATCTGGAATAGAAAGTGTAGGGTAAATGTGACAACGCCCAAAAATGTCAGGTTCTAGGTAAATCTCCAAATTGTTTGGGGGAATTTCTGTTCTTTTTTCCAATATCTCTCCAAATATAGAAAAAAGTGCGGATTTTTTGTTACTTTAGAGAAAAATGCCGGAATTTTCGGAAAATCTGGAGATTAAGTGTATGAACTTACATATTTTATGGTGGTTTATGGACACTGGTTTCATTTCTGAAACTATTTTTGCAAAGCAGCCGAGCATTTTTCGTTACAAATGTTTTTTATGTCATGAGGGTTCTAAGTTGTCGATGTGACGTAGAATCCATATTCCTTTCTCCCCTGGAATTTATATATGCGTATGTATAACCTTTCACATACGTGTTTCTGTAGATTTCAAAAGCGTACTGGCTCAGCGTTATTTTTCTAGCTGGTCGACTATTAGTTGCTGAATTCATTTTTCCCCGAAAAACAAAGTGCTGAAATTATAGTGGATGATAGTTACCGTTGCTTTCCTGTAAGACAATGTGGTATCAAACGGTTGTGGGTTATACAGAAAGATTCACCTACGAAGCCCTTGTGCATAGTAGTGATGAGTCAGCAGTGCCTACAGTTCGCGACCTTGGCACATGCAAATAAACAGCCGAAGTAATGTAGTATGTATTTGTGAGGCATTATGTTAGCTGCTAGACAGATAATGAATTTCTTTCCTAAGGGCTTCAGAAAATTTGCTTAGAGTATTCAATTCAAGTGAACAATACTCAAGAGGTTAATTGTATACTATTGATTTACCCTAATTGTAGTCAGGAGTAAATTAAAACATATGATCTGATGATTTGAAGCATTTTTTCAACTACAGTTTGGTGTATGCTACTTATGCTGACGGGTAGAAGTAGTATGCATCAGCAATCGAAAGTGGAATGCCTGGTAGTAGATTGAAATAAAAAGAACGGGAAAGGAATTGTAATAACAACAATTGGTAGAATCGTGAAGGATAAATGAAGGGAGATGTGCGAATAATGTACTTATTATATGGTTTCCATGTTTTATGAATGCATTCTGTAATTTTGCACTGAATAATAAATAGGTTTTGCCCACTTGAGTTTTCGTTTACCACGATACCATCCCTGTCTTATATGGAATAAGAATTGTAGTTTCTTCTATTCCATCCACAACCATTTGAACATTGACATCGATTTCAAAGGCGATAGATGTAGGATTTGATTTGGCCTACAGATATACTACTAAAACTGAAAAGCGATACTGGCGATCCCAGGGTCTATGTGAAAGCTATAGTCAGAATAAGGGTAACTTGCCTTTCAAATTTATCTGTTTCTAAACGTAAAAACAACGATTTGATTAGCACAATAATTAAAGGATTCAGTCATTAAGGAGAACGCACGAACATGCCGACCTGTATTGTTCTATGTGTCACACTAATATAACAGGGTAATAATGTCCTTCGATTGGCAAGTCACATGCAACGGGGATAATCTACAATCATATCAGACCACATTGACGTGGTGCGAGCCTAAGCAACGACTTGATTGGTTAGTTATGGAAATAACTGACAATAGAGTTACAGAGGTCCTAAAGTGGAAAATTTCGGATTCTCTAAGAAGAACGTTCTCCGCAGCAAGTTTGGGAAGTGCTCTCCAGAAGATCGATGTTCACAAGTAGTCTTGACGACAAATCTCATTTGATCAACTACATGTGCACTTATTGATTCTGTCTTCTCTAAAGACCTTCTACCCCCAACTGGTTTATTTTTGTTTCTATGGTCCAGCCGATTATATTTCATTTCAATGTCGACATTTTATGATGCTGAGCCTTCCTTTCCCAATTACAATTTCCCTATCTTTATGATGAATATTCAAGACCTCAACAATAGAACTATTATTAGCTTCTCTGATACAAATAACGTAATACTTTTGTTTATTCTACCTCATTGTTACCATGTTTAACAGAAGCTCATTATTACTACTATTGTGACTGACATCATCTTGAAATGTAAGTATACATTATTATTGTACGGTTTTGAAAGTTGATTCGCCGAAGAGATAATTCCTTGTTGAACCAGCCACTTTCAGTTCTTTCAAGGTTTATTCTAAAACTGACAACGAAATTTCCGTAAAATTGCAGTATCTAGTGTTTGCAATTCTGAGGGATAAACGTATAGTCATTCTTTGGATGTACCTACATACTTTATCACAAAGAAATATGTAGCAAGGAACAAATGCACCAACCGAATCACACCTAAATGGTAATATTTAGGTAGCCTCATTTCATTTGAAGTGAAGAAACAGATGACATACCATCAGTTTGTAGTAAATTATTTTGATGCATTTGATTTCTCCTCTTGTTAAGAGCAATAAGGAAAAAAATCCAGAGCTAACCTAACTATTCGTCAAAATTACATGTCTTCATATTAAACTTGATTCTTACTCGTTGATGTTACTCCTAATACTAGCCTAACTAATCACTTATTTCACAGGCTTCCTGATATTGCAAAAAATTAATTCTTATTTGAGTTTCAACTTTTATGTATTTCACTTGAACTAACAACTCTTTTCTTTTGTGAGAACGACGGTACTTTGTTAACATCTCTCACTGGTATACGAGCAACTATAAATTACAGACCTTTAATAGTTTAAATCCATAATCGTAGATTTACATAAAATAATACTTGCAAGATGACAAATCCAAAGTGTTAAGGAAATGTGGCTTGCAAGCACTGACTGTTTAGAACTGCTTTGGTTACTTAATTTTGGATAGTAGATTGATAATTTTTATCCTTACAATAAGTACGATACAAAGAAACATCCCAATAATTAAAAAGTCAATGAAATGAGGACTGCAACTCATTGATAAAGCATAGATCCATATATTCAGATTTGATTAAAACTTATTTAGCGAAGGCTAGAGGTGGTACTCGGTTACATGAACCGAAATAGGCGAAGAGTGAGTAATCCCTAAATAAGGATATAAGTCTAATCTAGTAATTATAACTGTTCCATAACAGAAGACAGAACACTTGTGCTACTTAAATTAGATATAATGAAAACAAGTACCTCATAGTTTTAAAAGTATGTTCACAAACAATTAATTTCATGCTAGCGAGACCAAATGAAATAATATTTGAGAAACTCAGAACTCAAATACAATTTACCGACGCTCAATTCAGTTGAAATCCCAAAGCTTTAATAAAAAGAACTGTGAATATAAATCGGATAGTAAACTAGCAACCCTTAAATTGTCTCTTTGTGTTAGGAAATCAGCCGGATATAATGAATACAAGAAAACCCAGAAGGATCAAAAAAGGTTGTTCAACAGTCTAAACAAACAATTGATACAAGGTAATTAGAACGATTAAAACAAGATCTCCTCATGGGCAGACTATAACGAATCAAATGAATGCAATAAAATCTAGAATAGGTCATTGGTAAGAGAATAAAAATATAAGAAATATAAAAGTTCCATATACAACCCATGACTGATGAAGGTACAAGACCATTCATTAGTTATAGTGGAAACAGGGATACCAACAAGGAAGAAAATATAACTTCTAAATCACGACATTCATATTTTTTAGAACTAACGTTAACCAAACGGTGATTAGATCATATTTCAAAAAGTATAATTCAAAACATAAAGTGGTTCAAAATCTCGAAATGATAGTCTAACGAACAGACCATCTCATTTTTTGATCTCAAATTGGTAAACGGTGATTCTGAATTTTCATGATCAACAGGCATAAAATGCAATTGCTTTTTAAAAGGCAAATTTAAGTGGGATAAAATATCCAGAAATTTATAAAAATCAGTAGATTTTTGAGGTTTTAGCTGGTTCATTATCTGTATGTTATGTAAAACACAAAATGATGACATTAGCTTATTATGAATTTCTACAGGATGGTATGAAAAGCCTATGCATAGGGATTTGAAGAACGACTACTATTGTTTCATTCATACGTAAAACAGAAGCTGTCTGAAGATAAATATATGGGTATTTCCATACATCTCAGACTAGTATTATCAGCAAAGTCACTTACTGTTAGTCTGAACTGTGTTGGTAGGCTCAGATTATTTGATTGGGATCCGGGCGGTAATTGAGACAAATAGTTAGACATCCCAGGTAACAGCTACAAATCAGCTGCACATTCATTTCTTCCTTATCTCTACCTTGGTTTTGATTTCCAAGCTCACTCTACATATTTTCTTTTGCAAACTTATTCGTACTTTATAAACCACACTCGCTTTATGAAACACCATACGAGATTAAGGTTTATTTAAATTTGGACAGTATATCATTTAACACCTTTCATTCTATGTCCACCTATTCCCCTATTCTTTTAAACTATTGCTGGTACTGTAACTTGAATATATCATGACTCTAAAGAAAACTTTCCTCACTTGTACAAAGAATTTGTACTTTGAACAATAAATAAAATAACAAAGGGATAATAATCAAAATATATCAGTTAATAACTAAATACCTGATAGGGAGATGCATGGACATGTATTCTGGGACATGAAACGGGGTTCAGCAAAGATAGGTAGTTAAACGAAACTGGCCACTGATGATGTGTACCTGAATGTCCAGAATCAAGCCAATAAAAGTCTGTTATAATTTGAGAAAGTTCCAATACTTGTGCAGGAACACCTTTCACGGAATCAGTAGGTAATTTTTTGGAGCGGGATAATACTGAAAATTCATATAATATCTCTGTCAAAACACAACAGCCTTTGCTAAAACCAATCAGTCTTATAGGGATAGTAGATATTTGACACTGTATATTAGCTTCACAATTTAACAACTTTTTAGCTGCATTTGACAGCAAACAACTTAAATGCATCATTCCTGTCATTTTACAGATATCGTCATTTTCAAATAATGGCACACCAGATTTCGTAAAAGGCATGAAATTAACATAACAAGCTATTGAATTAGATATCCAATGTGAAGCACGAATAATCCACACATGGGGATTAGAGTCACAAAAGTGATTGGTAAATCGTACATACAAATTTTGGGCAGTATTTTCCAAATTCCATCTAATATACTGATTATTAAAATTATTTTGACTCATATTATATTCGTAATCCTAAAAATAATAAGTAGAATAAAACTACCCCTACATTAGCATTAAAGATAATTTTAACATGAAAGTATAGTTACTTTTTTCAGAAAGAAAACGTAGGAGTGTAGAGACGAAAATTTGCCAGAAAAATCAAATCTATCCTGTCTTGTATCATTATTACAAAACATTTTATCCACACTTTTGTGGAAAGTTGGGGGTTTTTCATTCTAGTACAAAAACATAGCGGCGTCAATCACACTTCATTGTTCTTGGAAATTATTTTAGTAACAGAGATTAGGATCAATATGAACCAAAAAACTACACATGTATGTGTTTATAGGAAACAGCGGGTACATTCTGTTGATCAGTGCCATCCATAACGTGACTTGACTTCATGTTGATTCACTATAATTATTCAGCAAGAAACTGGTCGGTTCGGTATTTAAAAACTGGTAAGTTAAACGTACATTAAGAAAAAATATCTATTCCGTTTCCGTATCAAGTTGAATAGCTTCCTTAGAAATGTGTCAGAGAGAAAAGCTTGAATCTGACTTTCTAAATAGATTTGAAGGAGCCCAAAGTCAAGGCCTGGAAATGTATCGTTTGGTTGACTTAAGTTACTTCACAATAAAGAATACATAATAGACTTTAATAATCCCTTATCTCACAGTAAAATTACATCAATTCAGTTGGTCGTAATTAACATACGATCTGGCACATTATTGTCATGAGATCCTAGTCGTTTGTATAATATACTACTTTACCTTCTAGTACTGAAACTAAACAAAGACTTACATAATTCTTGAAACGTAAAATCACTTTCGAAAGAAGTTAAATCAGTGTCTAACACTTTCTATTCTTAAGCTAACCTGACGAAATTTTAATACAGACACAAAAACTTTATCCCGATTTGTAGCTTCTTAATCCAACTGGGAAGAAAACAATATTTTAAAATGTGCATAAAATGTCGCAACTTAAAAATTATTTAGTTATCTAAACATAAGCTTGTTACGATAAATACGTCATATGAAGTCAAATAATTTTCAATTGATTGGTCACTTAGTGGTGATCAATGCCATGTACACCAAGTCCTTCGTAGTACAGATTGAATTCTATCAACCAAGTTGCAATGTGGTCACCAGTCTAGGTGACTCGACATCGCGTGCACCATGTTGAGATAAGATGGTGGTTGGAGGTAGTCAACAGGAAACCCTGGACCTAGGTTTCATGGTACAGGTACACTTTACTGACGAGTGCCAAGTAGCACAACATCTAGGTCCAGAGTTTCTTATTGACTACCTCCGACCACCATCCGAAGTCAAATAATATTAGTAAACAACGAAAATAGTACATGGTTGTGAAATACAAAGAATGAAAATGAAAGATAACAGGGTTTTTTTTGAAGCATTGTTCACATGGTCGAGTTAAGTATCACGTACAGGGAACAGGTTGGTTAGTGAACCTTTATCGATGTGATGTGAATAAATAATGCATTTAGGGCATATAAACACTACTTACCACAACACTTTATGCTAGCCGGAGAAATAGTTAGGTATCAAGGGTTTTCGACTGATCAGACCAATCTTGGTGACCTGCATGAATACCTGAGCTACTTGTTCCTTCCACCTAGATATTTCGAAAGGTTATCTGTTTTTGTTTGTTTTAACACATCATTATATCTACTAATCGCATAACTTATTCAGATGCGTTTCTGAAAAGTGCACAACCTTTCGCTGTACAAGTCACAAGAACGTACAATCAGAGACATTATGGTGGCTGGCAATATGGATTAAAAGAATGAAAATTATTCAGGTGTCGAGTCCCGAACTGCTAACATACTTTGGGCTGAGAGACATCGTTTAACATGGCGACCGCCTGCACCAAACCAACGATGGACTCAAATACACCATATTGCCATCAGTCATCGTTGGAGAGGGTCGGTAGAAGATTGTCGCTCATTCTAGAGTACCTGCTTGGACCCCGACCAGGCCCTAAGACGAGCACGCATCTGCTTGCGCCTTACTGGACGCAAAAAGTCCATACTAAAAAGACCCATTGGAATCGAATTGAGTAACGGGAAAACCAAAAGTAGGTTCCAGGAACAACTGAAGTCACACTTAGGTAGTTCTGAAGACGAGGCTGACCCAGATGTTGCTTGGAAAGGCATACAACCAGCTGTGGAAACAGCAGTGACATCTATTAGTGACTTAAACCACAGAGTTACAAAGAACCAGTGGATTTCTTTAAGGTCTATCACACTGATGGATTCTCGCAAACTCGTCCCATCAGGTTCTGAACATGATGAAGAGCGTAAACAAATCAGATCTAGGTTAAGAAAAAGTCTAAGGAACGACCGTGAGCAGTTGTGGGTAACGAAAGCAAAAGCGATGGAAAAGGCGGCGACTATAGAGAACACAAGACAGCTTTACAGACTAATAAAAGAAACTGGAACTAATAAGTCAAGCGTATGTGAAACTATCTCGGAAAAAGACGACACTCCTATTTTCACCCAGTCTATACGTTTAGAACGATGAGTGGGACATTTTAAGGAGCAGTTCAACTGGCCTTCAGCTACTCTACAACTAACCATCATTCCCAGACAGCGTGGATGGAACATCGAAGTGCGTCCTCCGATTCTATCTGAAGTTCGAAAGACTATAGTTAACCTGAAAAGAGGAAGAGCAGCTAGTCCAGATGGATCGGTCCCAGATGTCTTTAACTATAGTGGTCCAGTTTTCGCGATTAACTTGACTAGTATTTTAACTAAAATCTGGTAGTTGAACGTAATCCTATCTCACTGGTTACAATCACAGATCGTCTCAATATATAAGAAAGGGTCAAAATCATCCTGTGACAACCACAGAGGGATTAGTTTAACTAATATAATATCTAAAATAATAGCCTCGATAGTTATCAAACGCCTAACTAAGACTCGTGAACTGCAAACACGAGAGAATCGAGCTGGCTTTAGACCTGTTCGTGGCTGCATCGACCACATATTCACCATTCGTCAGGTTCTAGAACACAGACATACTTATCGGCGTCCGACAATGGTGGTCTTTCTTGACTTAAAAGCAGCATTTGACTCTGTAGACCGCGAGATTTTGTGGCAGTGTCTGTCATTGAAAAGCGTACCCTAGAAGTACATAAATCTTGTAAAGGCTCTTTACTCGAACACTACTAGTCGAGTCAGGGCTTATGGCGAACTGTCATCTACTTTTGCAACCTCAAGTGGTGTCCCTCAAGGCTGTCCACTTTCTCCATTTTTGTTTAACTTCATCATAGACCTATTGATGGAAATAACATTCTCGTCGACTGAATTCTCGGGTATTGATCTCCTACCAGGAGGTCCACTTATCGACTTAGAATACGCAGATGACATAGTCCTGTTTGGTGAAGACGCTGACAAAATGCAGAATCTTCTGGTAGCACTAGGCAACAATGCCAGAATGTTTGGAATGCGCTTCTTTCCCTCTAAATGCAAGTTGTTGCTTCAGGACTGGTCTGCGTCAACACCTGAACTAAGAATAGGGAGTGAAGTAGTCGAACGCGTTGACAACTTCACTTATCTTGGAAGTCAGATCAGCCCTAATGGGTTGGTATCAGACGAAATCTCAGCACGGATTCGAAAAGCTCGTTTGGTTTTTGCCAACTTACGTCACCTTTGGCGAAGGCGAGATATCCGTCTATCAATAAAAGAACGAGTACACTGAGAAGCAGTTCGTTCTGTTCCGCTTCACGGAAGCGAAACGTGGTCATTAAGAGTAGAAGACACCCGTAAGCTACTAGTATTTGACCACAGATGCCTTAGAAATATTGCTCGTATCTGCTGGGATCACCGGGTAAGTAATAGTGAGGTTAGACGCAGAGTATTAGGGAATGATTGTAAATCAGTTGATGAGGTTGTGAATCTTCATCGACTGAGATGGTTAGGCCACGTGTTACGTATGCCTGAACACCGATTACCACGACGCGCAATGCTGACCAGTGTTGGGGATGGTTGGAAGAAAGTTAGGGGCGGCCAAACCAAAACGTGGTATCAGTTCTTGAAGTCACTAACTTGTAGTCTGAGCCATGTCGGTAGATGCAGACTACTTGATTGGGGTCCGTGTGACTATCGTAATCAATGGTTGGAGACTCTTGGTGACATGGCTCAGAATCGGTCACAATGGCGTCGGTGTATATACTCCCTGTCTTCCCTTAAACTAAGAGATTAAAATCGCTCCATATCTTTCTTTCTACGAACTAACTCTATATTCCGGTACTGTATCCTTATATGCAATCTTTCTCCTATATATTACCACCATTGACTTGATCACTCCTATGAATCCGGTGTTCGTCTTGTTGTGCTGATGCGGTATGGCCACTTGGACCGATGCACATATGTGTCTGGTCCTACGTTGTAGCTGATTGACTAACTTTGGGCTGAGAATTATTCTACATTGTCCTAAAAATATAATACATTGAATAAAACCATAATAATAATAATCCTTATAGTTCCATGGCATCAACCCTTTTAATGTGTGGATGAGTAGGTTTCTTCGTCAGATTTCGCAAGAGATAGTCAATTCATATTCAGTCACACGTACATACACAGACAAACATTTTATTTTACTACGGACGGTACAACACTTATTTCTGGTTTATTTTACGTTTCAAACGATTATCCTTATCTCAACTTTCTATTTCTTCTTTTTTTCTATTATTAATTCAGCATACTTCTCAAACGGTCCTGGTGTATAGACATACTCTTTGTATGTCCATGTTTTGGACAACAAATAGAAAGTGTTAGACAGAATTAATCCTCTTAGTATTAAGAACCTCATAACTTTTAATTATTTCTTTTTCAAATTAATTTTCATTCTTTTTATTTCATAGGTCTTTTCTGATAACATTCTCTATTGTTTATGAGTATAGACACAGGAGTTAAAAAACAATACATTTACTGACCCATAAGGTTTAATTTTAATTCAGTCATTTAATTGGTTTTATCTGATTGAAATATACCAAATAAATTATTTTTAGGCGGTAGAAATCGATATATATTATATCTATAACAGACAATCTACGTTTAAATATAGTATGATTAAAATCGATATCCAGAATAAAAATAACTAGTCGAAACATATTTTATCCATTCATAAAACTCACCTGTACATCACCTCCAAAATAAACCAAATTAACAGTAGGATTCGCTTTTGTTCCGAGGAAAATTACATCATTACGTTTCTTAAGATAACCCACACAATTCTTAAGTTCACGCTTTATTAAACACATCTTGAAATTTAATCTATAGCGAGAGAGAAAGAGGATTTTTACAAGGAAGGTTTTAGTACTATAAGAAAAGATTTTTGAAAAGTAATAGGCTGTTTATTAGTTTGCTTTTGCTTAAAAAATGAATTTATCTAAGAACTATTACTGAAGAGTATTTATCGGATACTTATTAAGTAACTAGCTGTGCTAGTAAAATGTTTCAATTTAGTTATTCACCTATAAAAAATATAGGACCTGATACAAGTGCACATCGGTTCCGATTGCCACACTACTGCAACACAGCGGGGAAAAGTGAACAAAAATACCAGTGCGCACTTATCTAGTACTCAAGGTCAACAAGTTAATTGGTTTCAATGATTTCCCTAATATGGAATTTTTATAAACAACAATCACGTTTTAATTGACTGGAAAATGAATGATCTATCAGCTGATTTCTCCTAATCACCTATAACATTTGGTCATGTTTGTTTTGCGTTCATATTCATCATAGAAACATTTTGTTTTATTCCAAAAAAACCTATTCACCTGACTAGTGATATTGTTTTCGATTTTGAACTATTCAGAAACTTAAGTCGATAATATGGTTTTGTGAGGATCTATCACTCGACCACAACATATTATCAGGGTCATCTATTGACCGGCATTTCAACCATTTATTTTAACAATCTAAAATGTCTCGTTAATCATCGAAAATTTCATCCATAACGGTGGTGACGAGGATAAGATGAAAATTAGTTTTTTAAATCCTTACTACTATAGATGGGTAGAACTTATTGTTCATCAAGTTAGGGCGGTCGCAGACCAGAATGCTTCCGAATGAATCAAAATCTGACCACAACTTACACGTTAATAACTTACAACTGAATACAGTTCAGAATAAAGAATGCAATAGAGACCAAAATCTCAGTTCATGCAACAATACAATGGTCGAAAGCAATGACGTACCTAAGTGGATATAGACCTGAAGTTACTGAAAATTAAAATGCAGTCATGCAATATCAGTAAGAATTCCCAGGGAATTTTTCAATTTCAAGTCCAGAACCTACAATTCCAGTCACACAACATTAATCAGTCTACAGTACATATATCAGATCAACCCTCACAACACATACATCAAATAATCTCACGAGAACCAATTACTTTTGCAATTACAGCACACGACTAGTTTAGAAGCTTACATTATTATGAATCAACTCATGCAACAAATAAAAGGGGAAATGAAGTATCTTACATTTTACATAAATAAGGCTGTTGTAATCAGAAAAGGAAACAAAAATATGGCTCATGGTCAATGTACAAACACGTAAGTTTTCAAAAGATTTAACTATGCTTTATTTATCTTTGAAAAAAAACAAGATACAGAACAATTGCAACTTGGCCAAACAGGTATCCAGTCACAGTTTAAAGCACAAGAAACTTACGGCAAGAATACTTGATTATAATGGTTCAAAGGAGCAATCTATGATATTATTCACATACTAAGTGATTTAAGATATACCATAAAATTTGTTTCCATACGATACTACAAGCTATGGATACATTTTCTACAGAAAACGACAGAACAGCCTTCAGGAGGTTCATTTAACTAAACATGCAGTCTTTTCTAGACCTGTACTTGGAGAGAGGTACAAATTTCACACGAACTCATATACAAATAACCTTGAACATGATAATAATTAAAATGGAATCAGGCAAGACTAAGTTATGGACGAACCAATCACGTATAAGATAACAGGTCTCGGATTTTGGCGCAAAATTCACTCATTCATTCGGATAAAGAGTTTTGGCACTATACGTGATGTCAGTTCGTGATGAAAACCCTAAATCTAATTTCCAACTTTAATCATAAACTGTAAATCATCATTTTAATCCATCACACACGTCTATAACCCTCATTTGGTCCTGGTTACTAGGTGGGCACTCTCAAGTTCAATCTGGCGTTGCTCAATGGTCGTCCATAAATTTTAGTCTCACCAGAAATCAAAAAACATCAGAAACAAAAGCAGTTCTAAACTTTAGTAACACTTTCGCAAAGCTTCTTTTATGAAAAACAGTTAGAGCATATCGCGATTATTGTTGAACATTTAAATAGTTGATGAGAGCTAATGGTGGAGTAGGACACACAATCTTTTAGACGTATCTGAATGTTGATGGTCTTGATACGCGTTTGATAGTGTAATATCAGTAGACGACGAATGTCACTTAACGCTTTTATATTGTCATTAAAAGCAGTGGAGCAGGACATCAGTCAGTCAGCTACAACGTAGGACCAGGCACATAAGTGCATCGCTTCAAGTTGTCATCCCTCAACAGCACAACAGTTGCCACATCTTTACAAAATAATAGATTGAAGCAGAAAGGAAAAGAATGGAGCTAGCCAAAGTTCAGAAAAGAGATTTTTGATGTTAAGTGTGGGAACTGACGATTCAACTTGACTAACCAACTCATGAGAAGTGATATCTTGAAACAACCTCAAGTATAAAACAATGTCGTAAAATCGCATAAATAAACTAAATAAATACATATATACCTGCGGTAATATTATGAACATTAACTGCAATTTTGTTGTTAAAAAAATTTACCATATACAACGGAAATTTATAAAGTAACTGAAATCCCACACCTTTTTAAATTATCCTCTTTTGACTCACTTGAGAAATGGCAGGAAATCTTGTCATACCGAATGGTTTGGAAACAGCTCACAAACCATTGCTCAACAACTATTGATCAAAAATATTCATTCAGCAGATCATAACATTCCAGACTACAATGAAGATACCATGTTTTTCTGGACTAGTAGATGGATAGCCAAGAAAGGGATTCACTATTATTTACTATCAAAAAGCCTGGCACAATCGAACAAAAAGATGGGCCACATAAAAAAGTATCGAAAATATTTTGGAGGAATAAAAGGGAGGAAATTAGTGTGATCAATAAAGAAATTTTAAAAAATAGAATACAGTAGGAGATAACAACCAACTGAAGATACAAGAACGAAAGTATTTTTCCAGATAGGAAAAATTATCGCCCTATTGTGGAAAGTAGAATAAAATATTGCAACAAAGTTGCCATTGGTTTTTATTCTGAATCATACAAAAACCTCTCAACAAAGTTGGACCACGTTTAAGATCTTAACGGAGGAAATGTGATGGACCTACGGATCCAAGTACTAAACTGCTTCCTTTCATACTACGGTAACGTGTTATAAACTGATAGCCTCTTCGCTTTCTCTAACTATTCCTAGCACCAGTATATAATAAGCGATGTGGGAGCCGCTATGATAAAATTTGTGGTCATCCTCCCCATAATCGGGAGATTAGATTACCTGCAAGAAGTTACACAAGCGTAGAGTAGACAAAAGCTGATAGTTTGGACTAGAAGTTAGTAGAGAAAGGCTCAAACCTGCTATAGTTTTGTAGTGCGCAGACCGATCATACAGTTATAACTATCCCGAGCTCCTACTTTTGTGGTTTTTGTGCTATTTCCCCAAAACGTGCCAAATTTTCCCCAAAATTGGGAGTTCGGGATGGTAACAACAGCAGTTGCTGTTGAAGTAAAACACCCGATGATATGTATATAAATTCCCCATCTTATTAGTTGACTGAAAACGCCAAATTGATCGTATTGAACAAACCAGTCAATTGATAAATAGTTTTCAATTCAAGAGTCTCTTCTTACTGTTGCTTTGCATTTCTCAAGGACATCCTTGAGGTTGAATATCCACCATTGTAAACGAGATTAATTAAGAAGGAAAAATCACTGAAATACTTCAGTCTTCAAAATTAAGCGTAAAATATATAGTGGAATATATTAATGACCTAGATTTTCAGCGTTGTAAAAGTTCAATCTCTCTAGTAATTTATCAAAAGAGGATGCATCACGGATCATCGCCTGCTGTTCACATGGATCTGAGGTTTGTTTCGTTGTTTTTCAACAACACTTAATGAACCTTTACGTTAATCAGTCAAAAGGTTCGTCAAAACCCTTTCTTTGGCCAACTACTGGACTAAATAATGGAATAAAAGTACGATGTGAGATGATTTCTTGAAGACCAACAACTGTGATCAAGATTTCCTGCAAAATTTATTGTTCTTGAAGTCACCTAGCGGAATATGTTTGAAATTAATCACTTCTGGTCACCTAATTTATCATCAAATATGAGATATGAAACACGAATACACTGTTGAACTAATCAGAGTACTAACTTAATTGTTAGGTAACAGTAAAGATACCACATGTATTCGGAATTTCACAACATTCTCAAACGTAGCATCTTCATAATTGAAGTATACTAAATCAATCAATTAAGAAGTAAAAAATGAACAGGTCCGAAAATATGTTTGGAAAGCTATCGATACGTCGAGAAGCGTTTGGTCTAAGCTGGCTAGTAGTTGTAAAGGACGCGTAGCACGTTGTACCCTTTCGTGCTCTGGAGCAGGTGCGCGACTGAGAGCTTTCAGCCAGGGTGTGTTCAGTGAAACTAATGAGGTCAGCATCAATGCCGAAGACTTGACAAACTATCTGTTTCGGAGATTTATTTTTCTCCAAAACAGTCTCAGATAAAGAAGGTGTAGATATAAAAGATTTTATCATGTAAACCGAATGACTGACATAGTCCTTTTTTCTTTCAGTGATTTAATAAGGCCATACAAAAGATTTTTACTATGTTGTTAGGCTTACCTCATTTTCGATCACCACGGCAGATGACCAGTATCGAATTATTGGGGGCCTATCCTTAATAGAAAGCTCCGCCAGAAGCCCCTCTGGGGCGACTGTCTGTCCAAATCCCAGATAAGGGGGAAGGGTTAAGCATGGGGTTAGAGACCCCATCCCGTAAAAATCTCACTCGCTAAAAAATGCTAACCAGAAAGAATAATTCTAACCATTTAATATCTGCCTTGGGAGTTGGAAGGTCTTTATTTAGAGGAGTTATGATTCCTCATGATGAAAGCCGAGTTCCTTCGGAAGTCACGAGACCGATGCTCCTTCTGACAACCAGAGCAACCATTTATTTAGGTACATGGAATGCTCTCACAATGTGGGGGACCGGGGGAGTATTTTGAATTGCTGCAGAATTGAAGAGATACAACCTGGAGGTGCTCAGAATCAATGGAACATTTTGTACACATGTTGAACAACTAGCCTCAAGAGAGTTTCTGTCATACTACGGCCTTGAAGAAGAACATGCCTCATATACATAGAAAGTTGCATTGATGCTATCAAATCAAACACAAAATGCACTTATAGGACGGAAATCTCATGGATCAAGGATCATCAAAGCCTCCTTCAAAACAAAGAAAGAGGGCATTTCAATGAACATCATTCAATGCTATGCACCTACCAACGATTACAATGAAGACAATAAAGATCAATTCTACGATAGGTTGCAGTCAATCATCGAGAAGTGCCTAACAAAGGACCTGACCATTCTGATGGGAGACTCCAATGACAAGGTCGGAACGGACAACACTGGATATAAAGACATCATGGGACGCCATGGACTGGGAGAAAGAAACGAAAATGGTGAAAGATTTGCAAACCTATGTGTCTTCAATAAACTGGTCATAAGAAGCACAATATTCCCACATAAACGCATTCAGAAAACCACATGGACTTCACCGGATCACACCACGCTAAACCAAAACGACCATATCTGCATCAACAAAAAGTTCAGGAGGACGATGGAAGACGTGAGAACCAAGAGAGGAGATGATATAGCCTCAGATCATCACTTGCTAGTCGCCAAGATCAAAATGAAGCTTAAGAAGCATCGAACAACGGGGCGGGCGACATCACAAAAGTTGAGTACGGTTTTTCTTCGGGATACTGACAAACTCAACAAATTCAAGATAGTCCTCAGTAACAAGTTCCAGGCCTTTCATAATCTACTCAATGGAGAAGGAACTACTGTGGAGTGCAACTGGAGGGGGATCAAAGAGGCAATCACTTCAACGTGTTATGAGGTTCTGGGCCACAAGAAGCACCATCACAAGGAATGGACCACTGTTGATACACTGGATAAGATTCAAGAAAGGAGGAACAAGAAAGCAACAATCAATACCAGTCGAACAAGAGCAGCAAAAGCCAAGGCACAAGCTGAATACACAGAAGTAAACAAACAAGTGAAGAGGAACATCAGAGCCGAGAAACGTAATTATGTGGAAGATCTAGCAATGACAGCAGGAAAGGCTGCAAGAGAAGGAAACATGAGACGATTGTATGACACAAGAAAGGAACTCTTTGGAAATCACCGTAAACCAGAACGACCAGTGAAAAGCAAGGAAGCCGAGGTAATCACCAACATTGAAGAACAACGGAACAGGTGGTTAGAACACTTCGAAGAACTATTGAATCGACCAGCCCCACTGAACTAACTCAACAACGAAGTAGCGCACACGGACCACCTAATCGATGTTCGGTCATCAACAATTGGAGGGATTAGCATGGTTATTAGTCCAATCAAGAGCGGCAAAGCAGCAGGACCAGACAACATTCCGGCAGAGGCACTGAACGCAGGTATAGCGGTAACCGTAAGGACATTCCACATTCTCTTCAGCAAGATTTGTATGAGGAGTAATTACCAACAGACTAAGAAGGAAACCTGATCGAGATACCAAAGAAAGGCGATCTCAGCAGCTGTGGCAAGTACAGGAGCATCACTCTTCCCGCAATACTAGGAAATTTCTTCAACAGGGTATTGTTAAATAGAATGAAGGACTCTATAGACACCCAACTTCGAGACCAACAGACTGAATTTCGTCGGGATAGATCGTGTGCAGACCGAATTGTAACTCTACGGATAATCGTGGAACAATCAACTGAATGGAATTCATCACTCTACACCAACTTCATTGACTACGAGGAAGGGTTTTAAAGAGTCGACAGGACAACATTCTGGAAGCTTCTTCAACACTGCGGCACACTCGAGAAGATAGTCAATATCACACGTAATTCCCATGATGGATTAAACTGCAAAATTGTTCATGGAGGACAGCTGATAGATTGGTTTCGATGTAAATACCGGTGTCAAGTAAGGCTGCTTAATCTCACCTTTCCCCTTTCCCTCAGATCATGAGGACGCCAACAACTGAGGGGAAACATGGGATACAGTAGATATCTAGGATACAGCTGGACGACCTAGAATTCGCAGGTGAACTGGCTCTTATATCTCACACGCAACAACAAGTTCAGGAGAAGACGACCAGTCTATCAGCAGCCTCAGCAGCATTAATTCTCAACATACACAAGGACAAAAGCAATATTCTACGATACAACACGGCATGCACTAATCGAATCACACATGATGGGGAAGATTCGGAAGATATAAAAACTTTATATATTTGGGTAGTATCATTGATGAACACGGTGAATCTGATGCATGTGTAAAGACGCGGATCGGTAAAGCAAGAACAGCATATTTACAAGTGAAGTACATCTAGAACTTAAAACAACTGTCAACCAACACCAAGGTCAGGATTTTCAATGCAAATGTGAAGACAGTTCTACCATACGGAGCGGAAAACTGGAGAACTACAAAAGCCATCATCTAGAAGATGCAGGTGTTTATTAACAGTAATCTACGCAAAATACTTTGGATCCGTTGGCCGGACATTATTAGCAACAACCTACTGTTGGAGAGAACAAACCAGATGCCAGCGGAGGAACAAATCAAAGGGAAGCAGTGGAGATGGATAAAACACGCATTGGGGGAAGCATTGTTTGAAGCACATGGAATTCTCAAGGCCAAATGCGGAGAAGAGTAAAACCAAAGAACACACTACGCCGAGAAACGGAGACAAACATGAGAAAAATGAACGAAAAATGGGCAGAAATGGAAAGGATGGCCCAGGACAGAGTGAGTTGGAGAATACTGGTCGTCGGCCTATGCTCCATTTGGAGTAACAGGCGTAGGAAAGTAAGTAAGTAAGTATACTACATAGAAGAGTGGTGTGACCAAACAGCCAACGTCGAAATCACACTTTGCTGTTAGTACCTAACATGGATTATCCATTCGTCGCATCAAGACACTATTGTTGCTTTGGTGGCCGTGCAACACTAAGGACATTGTTACAAAAATATATTAGTAAGAGTGGGTAAAGGAACAAAGTTCGACTATTGCTGTATGAACCGGTCCATGGCATGCAAGTGACTGATGAGTGTTGGTTGTCGTTGACCTTGAAGAGAATCGATGAACTATTCGATATTCAGTGATCCGACTGCCGTGTGGTTTAGCAAGGACTCAACGATATTTCACTGGCCCTCACCATAAAGTCGCATTGTTTTCTAGTTTCTTCTGCCATATACTCGACTGACTTACGTCCTTTCCTGAACGTAGATTGTGTTTGATTCATCAGTTAGTGTTAGGCTAAATTAGTTTACCAGCGGCTTGTGTGCAAGTGTCACATACCGAAAATTATTTTAGAAGTTTTAATGAAATGTATTGCTTATTCGGTCTTAAAGTGTGCCCAGTTGAAGCCAAATCATCCATTACTATAGATGATCGTGAGCCAAAATACTTGGCCTGGTCATAACATAGAATATTAGATAATTGGTGTGATTGGGCATTTTAATATCGGCCTACAGTTCCCGGATGTTGTTAATTATTAGGTTGAGTATAGGATCAATTTTACACGGTCTGTCATTTTGAGCATCGCTTTGATTACCCAGCCTTTATTGAAATTGTTGCCTTATTGACCGTACTCAGGACGCGGGAGATAAGTTGGTTGCGGCTACAGCGCATAGATTAATTCGAGTCATAGGACGTGATGTACCAAGTTTTGTATCTTGAGAAATCACGTAGGTGCCAATTCGGCATATTTCTTGACTTCTTTTTGATTTCTTAGTCTTCACGCTTATTACATAGATTTGTAAGGATCTTCATAGGATGGTATAAATTCGATGAGAAGTTTCTCTTATATGAAATCAACGAAGTGAATCACATACTGTTGAACATTCTCTCTACCCATTGATTGAATACACTTTAGGGCATTTTAAAAAAACAATCAACAAAAGCACACATGGATACTGTCTTATCATTACCAGAACCAAGGGCTCAGTAATGATGTGTTGATTTCCATGAAGCACCAAATAATTTTTTCCGAAGTGAAGAATAAGTTCAATTAATCGGATGACATGGCTTGGCTTTGCAGGCGTGGTCACTCTTGAGTGTTGTCTCATATCATTTATTCATATTAAATATACTGTTCTATCCCTAGACTAAGTGTGTTCTCCATCATATATTGATGGTTGTTAGGATGCGATGAGATTATGATGTGACTTCCACGTAAGGTCTTGTAGATCAGGCAGTTACATCATCACAAATCGACAATTTTAGGAATAGGTCTACTAGTAGAGCAGTATTAATAACGAAGTAGATAATAAATTTACAGGCCGTCCACCATCATTCTCCACCTAACCGTGTCCCGGACAACCCTTTTCAGTTATTTCAGATTGCTATTCATCCTTTTCATATCTGCCTCCGATTCCCGACTCAGTGTGTTCTGTGGTCTTCAACTCTTCCGTTCCCCCTCAGGATCCCAAGTTAGTGCTTGCCTCTTGATACAGTTTAGTGATTCCCGTAACGCATATCCTATTCACTACCAGAATGTTTCCCTAATTTGCTCTCCATCCTGAAGCTGGCTTGTTCTCTCTTACATTAGGATGCTGCTGATGGTATCCAGTCAACGGAACTGTAGTATCTCGTGCAAACAATTATTTATAAATACATGCACATTTTTATTATGATTGAAGTAGCTCTGGAAGCTTCAACTCTGTACAGTAGAACTGTTTTGACGTTCATATTGGAGATTCTAATGTCAATGTTGTCTGACAGTTGTTTTGAGTTCCATAAGTTCTTCAACTGTAGAAATTCTACCCCTGTATTGTCAATCCTTGCGTTTACGTCTGCGTTGTATCTTCCTAGTTCATCGGTGCTGTCCAGGTACGTGAAAGATTTCACCTCTTCCGAAAATTTTCCACCAAGCATGATTGGGTTACTACTGACGTCTGGAACAAACTTGACGTACGCGTCTCCTCAAGGTCATAGTTTACAGCAAGAGCTCTACGAGACTACTTTCTAACAACTATAAACTTAATATGTTAGGAAACATGCTGTGAGCTAAGAAATGTTGTAATTTGTAGATCATGCCTGTAAAAATGATGCGTACCTGCGCATGCAGAAATATATTATTTTTATTACTCTTCTCCATGTTGTATTTGAGGATCTTGCTTTTTGCTATGTGTATGTTGTGGCCTGTTGATGTAGCGGGTGTTACTACACTGATTGTCTTCGCCTGCATTTGTTCGTTTGTATGGAATATAAGGGCCAGGTCATCTGCGAAGTTCAAATCTTCCAATTGATTCTGAGCCATCCATTATACTCCATGCATCCTATCAGGTGTCGAGGTCTTCATAATCCAGTCAACCACTAGGAGAAAGAAAAAGAGAAGAGAGTAGTCAGCCTTGTCTGACTCCAGTCCATTCTTGGAATGCATCTGTTAACTGTCCGCCATGCACGACGTTGGACTGTAGCGCGTCACATGAATCCGGATCGTAATGACAATCTTTTCAGGTATTCACTGCTTGGTGTCGAAGAAGTTTCCATAATGTTCTCCTATCCACACTGTCAAACGCCTTCTTATAGTCAAGGAAGCTGATGTATAGCGACGAGTTCCATTTAACTGATTGTTCAGCGACTATCCGCAGTGTTATGACTTCGTCTGTAAGCGCCAATCCTTATGAAATTCGATCTGTTGATCTCGGAGTCGGGCGTCTACTAAATCTTTCATCAGGTTCAGACACACTTTGTTGAAAACGTTTCCTGGTACCAATAGCAATGTGGTGCCCCTTTAGTTTTTACATTTTTCAGGTCTCCTTTCTTTGGTATTTTGATTAGGTATTTTTTTCCAGTCCATGACTTTTGAAACATCTCGGCTTTCATCATGGAGCGTTAAATTTCTCTTGGAAGATCATCCAAATAGGAGTGCAGATTTCAAACGGTTTAGTTTGTTTATTATGATTAGCGTTGTTCTACGAAGGTTACCCTACTCCTAACCCTCTTTGTCTAACCAGGCTTGAGACCGGTGGTAGCCCTAGAAGAGCCACAGGTGGAGTTAATATATATGTATCACCAAGCAGGTAAAATAAATAAATAGATAAGAAAACAAATCATTTATACAGTTAAAGTTGTCGGTAGAATAAGAGTTTGTGCAGTAATTGCGTAGAATAATGCTGCAAAAGTATCAACTAATTGCAGAGAACAATCTTCAAATATCATTTTTTATGGGTCATATATGCGTGATGAACATAAAATAATGTGTAAAGTTGATCTACATAGGTGCAACATAAGATAATGTGTCTCTAGCTATAAACTTATGGTGTTTACGAATAGAATTTATGTGGAAGGAAAAATAGAACGAGAGAGAAGAGAACGGAATGGAAGAATATTTCATGTATCAGAGGATCAATCATGATAGTAATAATAATAATAAATTTGAATATAAGCAGACTTTGGGTGAATAGTAGGAAACAAAATAAAATAACTAACAAAAGCTCAAAGGCTCTACTTTGTTTAACAGTCATTCAGGTAGATATTGGATCTCGTTTGCGTAAACCATTGGTAAACACGCTGACGTTTAATAAAGGACGAAAACCGCTCTCTGTAAGAATGTCATCTAGGAGGTTTGGAACCAGGTCACATTTTCACTGCAACAGAGGCCTACTGACGCTCTTTTACATAGTTGAATGGTGAACAAGGAAGAAATTGCAGCATACGTTTGTGTAGGTTCTCGTAATCAATAGAATATTCTTTTTTATTGAGTAGGTTGTGTGATGATATAATTGAATATGAAGGATTGGTTGACGAAGAGTACGAAATACTATCCACAAGTCTGTTGTTAAATGCAAGGCTTAATTTAATGCGCCGAATCCAGGGAGATTCTGACTGAGGTTGTTGATACCTTTGGTGGTAATCATCTTTGTCAGAATAACCCAAAAATGCTGTTGTGAATCTCCGTTGAACACCAACTTTCACCAAGTAATTACGTCTACAATGACTGTACTCAAAAATCACTTCTGTTATGCACCTGTGGCGGTAAAAACATCCCCAAGATAGATAGTTCGTCAAGTCTTCGGCATTGATGCTGACCTCATTAGTTTCACTGAACACACTCTGGCTGAAAGCTCTCAGTCGCGCACCTGCTCCAGAGCACGAAAGGGTACAACGTGCTACACGTCCTTTACAACTACTAGCCAGCTTAGACCAAACGCTCCTCGACGTATCGATAGCTTTCCAAACATATTTTCGGACCTGTTCATTTTTTACTTCTTAATTGATTGATTTAGTATACTTCAATTATGAAGATGCTACGTTTGAGAATGTTGTGAAATTCCGAATACATGTGGTATCTTTACTGTTACCTAACAATTAAGTTAGTACTCTGATTAGTTCAACAGTGTATTCGTGTTTCATATCTCATATTTGATGATAAATTAGGTGACCAGAAGTGATTAATTTCAAACACATTCCGCTAGGTGACTTGAAAAATATTTTGGAAGATTTGTGTCAGTATCTACAGATCATAGCTTATCACGCTCGTCGTCAGCCTGAATGGACACAAATACATCAATAAATAACTTCTATGTAGGCATGCAAGATATTGAGTAATGGATAAGCGCGTGAATAAAAAATATCGGTACTGTCCGTTAACCGGTGTTGATAAGTGCTTTGCTTCCACTGGACTACTTAGATAATTTATTCTTGCAGAAAAGCTTAAGCTCGGCAAAGGGAAATTTTCCATGCGTCAAACTCGTGACCTTTTAGAGCTTAAGGTATATATCGTTACTCGCATAAAGATGTTTTAGGCTTTCATCCAACGCTGTCGGCGGGCAGATCTTGATAAACTTATAAAGTTAACCAATCTTCCTCGTGGAGGTCTAAAGCAGGACATTCAGTTGAGACTTATTTCCTATCTGGACCAGGATCCTTCTACAGAATTCCTTTCTGCCCTTCATGAACTAAGGGGACTGATTTATAGTCCTGTCAGTAAGTTTTTCCCCGCATTTTCACTGTTTTTGTTGTCATGAGAGTCTATTCAATGTAACACAACCAGTTGATTCTTGGTGCTTGCATCCTTTTTAATCTTATAGTTTTTGCAAATTTGTTTCAACTATAAATTTGAATTAGGGATTTTCGTTTAGCTAGTCCCAAGCTTAGTATCGAGCCGATTCCCTTTATATAGTTTCTTATAGTGTATAAATAGATTGATTTACATTGTAATGCCTACAAACCATAATTATTTACTGAAAATATTGTACATCTACTAAATTCTACTGACACGCCACTGGAGATAGATACTTGTGCATCAAATTAGTTTTATTATTCCTAGTGGTAATATAAGATGAAATAGATAACCAGAGTAAAGTTCCATAATTTTTACTACATTTAGCGTTGTTACAATGTTAGTTCAGCTATAAAGTTCAGGTGCACAACTTGTCTTTACCTACAGTCGTAGCCTACATCTATCAAAACTAATCTTCGAGCTAAGGATGTTCTTTAGTTTCAGAGACGGCATGCGTTTAATGGCAACACACTTTGAATAATGCTAAGGTTCATTAGCGGGTATTTGGGCCTGGTAGAGATGTGCAGTTAGTGAGTACTGCCATCTTAGAACACCGTATTTATTTTCTTGGTTTGATTTTCCATTTATCGTTCAAGTCGTTTTCCCACATCGTGTTATTTGGCAACACTGGTACACAGTGACGAAATTTGAGAAAAGTTTAGTTTATGACAGCACTGTCAAGTGACAGTTAGTTGTTCTAGGTTAGTGTCGAGTACATTAACATGTAATTGATCACATAATTATAATGTTTATTTAGGATTTTTGTGCTTGAATTATAGATTACAAATTGACAACTTGATTGTCCTGTAAAAATTGAGTGAAATGAACTCCCAGCATTACCTTCAATTTACAACTGAGTTTTTAAACAGTTGATTGAGAATCATTAAACCTACACACTATCAAATATCCTGTTATCTTCTGAAGAGTCTTATAAGAAGTAAAATGATTGTATTAGTTTGTCGCTGATTTTCATATGTGCTCTGTTGTATCTAACTTTTTTATGTATTCCAAGGCCATTATTGTTATTAAAAGTGATATAATTCGTGTTTCAGATTTACAGTTTCAACAGTCAAATGGAAATTTCGACCCCCACTGTCCTTCGAACGATCTTCCGTCATCGTTTGTGTATTTAAGAGACCCTACCATTCGTTGTTCTACACAATCGTCAAAGAATAGTTCAGGACCGAATCCATGTTTGACAGGTACAAAAACAAGCTGTGTACTACAGAAAGAGCAGTTGCGTCACAACCCTTACGTTGTACAACCGAATACAAGTGTTTTTGAACAATCATCTCCAGATGAATTAAATTCTACGAGAAGCAGGCAACAAAAATCTCAGCAATCAGTTTCATCCAATGAACTCACACAAAGTTCACTATTTCCAGGGAATCCTGTGATTAACCCATCAGTTTGGTCATCTTGGGAGTCTGTTAACAAGTTGTTACCCGAAAACCGAGTAACGACATCTCAATCTTACACATCTGGGAAGTCCCAAAATGTAAGCAATTTTAATCCCCATTCTCGAACAACTGTTGCCCCTTCTATCCCTATTCTATCCAATTCAGCTATGTCAGATGGGCATTCAGAAATACATGTGCACTCTGAATGTCCTCAGAGTTCAATCCACACACTCGGTACAGAATCAAGAAAAGCTGCTGTCACACACAAAATAGGTCCACTTATAACATTGGCTGGAGGTAAGACACAGACTGTCGAAGTATTTTTTTTATTAGAATTTTTCGTCGCATGCATATGGACCAGATTTTGTTGCTGTTAATTTATGTATAGTCATCTGTGGATTTTGTTTTATTGTCTATTTCTGCGCTTTGAAAATTTAAAGTACATTGAAATCTAGTATTTATTGTTTATTTTAGTAGCCGAATTATCTAAACAGTTCAGGTCAGGTATATATACCAGACAAAATGCAATTACATATATTTAAAGAAATCACAATAATGTAATATGCTAGGAAGAATTCTGTTCTCAAGTATTGACTAACCAGAAAAAGATTTCATAGTCACCTAAAGTATTCTTTTCCGAAAAAAGCAATAACAAAGATTTAAGCAGAATAACATGAATTCATTTTATTTCGTTTGGTTCTCGTCAACTGCTTACAACTTGTGATATTTAAGAATCATAATTACGAAATGGTTTGCAATTACTTGAATAAGCACAGTTGGAAGTTACTTTAAAGACATCAGTGTAATATAGCAAGGGTGTCAATAAATTTAATAGATGGAATAAAGTATTGTAAATACATACCTTATATAGGAAAAGTTCTATAACGTCGGTAGTAACAAAGGTCCATAGGGCTGGAAACAAGTGGTTACGTAATGAGTAAACGCTGATAAAAAGTAAGAATGAGTAAAGCTCAGTTAATTAAAATAAGATTAATAATCTAGATGACAGTTAAAATAGAAAGCTTAGTGATGTGATTAATTTAAAGAGTTGAACAAAATTTTATGATGCAATGAAGGGATATTTATTACTAATAGAAGGAAAGACTATCAATCATCTATTCAACACATAAATCAGGTTCCGGACGCCTTATAGCAACGGTTTCAGATAACTTCAGAAGTCTGGGGCTTGACTGTTTATTAACCACCTTGATAGATTTCAAGGTATTGGCCTGATATCCTGTATCCAAGAAACGCTTAGTAATTGCGCTGTTTAAAGTATTTATCTTGTTCGTTCATTTTTAAAAGACTTGCCATATGAGGTTCTGTTTAGTCAACTTTGATCCATAGTTTATGTGTGAGGGCTAGTAATACGTTACTAGCCAGTCACCCAAACCAAAATAATTGGTATGGTATTCAAACCTGTGACCTTTTAGTTGAAAGCTGAGTTTCGTAACCACTATATTACTGCTCCAAAACTTAAATTGTACCTTACTGTTTGTGTTGTATAATAGTTTATCAATATAAGGTTTTAGGCCTGTATAAACTTGTAGCGGATCTCTGTTACCACTCACCTACGTGCTTAAACAGATAAATTATCTTGATTTTCCCATTTGTCCTGTAACCCATATATTTTCCCTTTCTAATCACTCTCATGTAACATCTAGGTTGCTTTATAGATATGTATATGCTAAAATGTATGTGTCTGTATACTTATAACTCTTTCGTGCTCATAAAGACTGTCACCTATTACTCGCTAAGTTAGCTATTTTCATCACTCCAGTTAACACGGATTTCTTTTCGTTCTACATCGTTAAATGTCTGAAATGTACGTCCTTCAAATACTCTCGTGATCGACTTTTTATATCTACGTTGTTAATTATGCGATTTATCGACAGAATATATATGAAGTAAATAGGATATGTATTTTATTAACATCAGTATCATTTTATCATTATGGAGTTGGATATAGGGCAATAATTTGAATCATTTGATTGTTATTCGAAGCGAGAAAGGTAGTTTCCATGGATATAGAGAGTTCATCATTTGCGTGTGGGCTGCAATACTGTCCGGGTGCCCAGACCGAAGCAGGTGGATATCTTAGGGGGCCACACCCCGAGCCTTTGATCTAAAGGTCTAACCCACAAGGCAGTGGAGCATCGTAAGGAGATGCAGTCCCATGGCAGCCGGTGACCAACGATTGGTGCATACGCCATTTGTTCCCGCAGGATACTGGAGCCCATGTGCACCACTGGTTTGGGATCAGGTTAAAGCGCCGGACATTCGCTTTTCGTCCTCTCATTTTCGTAAACAACACCCTCGCCACGAGAAGGCAGTGAGTAGGACTTCCTTGGCAGAGGCTGTTTACGCGTGGCCGTGTGAGAGTATTTCGAGAGGGAGAGCTGACTCTCCCCACTCTCGGCCGTACCAGGGCATTTGGGGGCAGGGTTGCCCAATCTCACCATTCCTCTTCAACTTTGCCATCGATAACATTCTGGAAACAACTCTGATGGACGTAAGTAATGGTGGTGTGGATCTGTTGCCTGGAGAAAGACTTCTCGACCTTGAGTATGCGGATGATATTGTCTTACTGTGCGATAATGCCCAAGCCATGCAATCCGCATTTAATCAGTTAGCAATCAGTGTCCGTAGGTATGATATGTGCTTTGCACCTTCGAAGTACAAAGTACTTCTACAAGACTGGCAGGATTCTAATCCTGTACTCACCCTGAGTGGTGACCAGACAGAAGTATTTGGGAAGTTCGTGTATCTAGGTAGCTGTATAAGTGCTGGTGGGGGTGTGAGTGATGAGATCAATGCACGCATAGTGAAAGCCAGAGCGGCTTATGCCAATCTGGGCCATCTTTGGCGCCTTCGTGATGTTAGTCTGGGCGTAAAAGGTCGGATCTACAACGCGTCGATGAGAGCAGTTTTGCCCTATACTTGTGAAACCTGGCCTCTCCGAGTTGAGGACGTTAGACGACTCTCTGTGTTCGATCGTCGCTGTCTCCGAAGGATTGCTGACATCCAGTGGCAACACCATGTCAGTAATGCAGAGGTTCGGCATCGTGTATTCGAGCTCCGAGACGATAATCCAATTGGTGTCACCAACACCGACTTCGGTGGCTTGGACATGTTTTACGAATGTCGTCACAGAGAATTCCACGTCGTGCATTATTTGCCGACTCTGGGACTGGTTGGAAAAAGCGGAGAGGTGGTCAGTATATGACATGGTGTCGTGGTATGAAAGAAAGCTGCAAAGGACTGGCTTGTGTCGGACCTTCACGACTCCCTGGTTGGGGTCCGAGAGATGGTGCAACACAGTGGCTAGAGACGTTATCAGATATGGCTCAGAATAGAAGCCAGTGTCGATCCTGCTGTACTTTCTTCATAAAAAGTGGTTGTGTCTTCCTTAACTGAAAGAATTCTTGTGGTGGTACCTTTCCGTTTCCCCCATTATTATTATTATTATTATTACACTACCTTACACTAATTTGGTCGTTATTATTCTTTTTTTTCTTTTACGCTTGTAACACGCATTTATGTAGTTGATGGATCGTTTCGGCTTCCCGCTGTTTTACCTGAATTTCATTTCAAAGAGTCTCCATTTTTCAAACTGATCGATGTTCTTTTACCTCCGCAAATCATTCTCCCGGCCCACATCGGTTTTGCTACTGGACGTCGATCTTATGACCGTTCTTTGGCCTTGAGGTTCACATCTGACCAAGTTGAAACCATTACTTATCACTGGTGAGTATGATTTCTTTCGTCGTTTTGGTTACTTGTGTGTAGTCTTTTGTGGGATGACAGATTTACTTGTGTTTGCTCTACATTTTTCCGAAAAACTTTCATAAGAATCTTTGTGTTGAAAACCTAAAGTTTTCTAGTTTATTAATGGTTATTACCCAACATCATTTCTTATTTCTTAAAACCATACTGGTAACTTTATGTCGACGCCCTCAACACCCTAGCTCTTAGCCTGACGTGAAGTCCGACAACAGTCATTAACCGAAACTTTCACCCTTGGCAACGGAATTTTTGTTTGTGAACCACGCATTCTAGAATCTAGTACATTCATTCCCTTGATCTTATCTTGGTGGATGTTAGAGTAAAATTAAGATAGATGATATCGAATACAATCAACCAAATCCTGTGATATTTATGAATGCGCTTTTAATTTTATACCTTTGTATAGGGACAGCTATGCTCAGAAGCAATTCAGTCACCAGGTGATAATTAGCTAAGGAGTAGCACGCAAAGTTAGTGATCGGTAGGATTGTCTCTGAGAAAAACATTACCCTGATTAATATTCGGAATTGATGTACAAAACATAGAAGAAACATTTTAACTACTGGCTACGTTTTGGTTATTTTTCATTCCAAAACCGTATGAGTAGGATATAATTATCGACTTTTAAAGTTTTACTGTAATTGGGAAATTGGTGGCAAATCTAAGACGAGAGAAAGCGACAAGATCTGTTAGTTTACCTCTATTAGAATAATAATCGTGAATTCTTGATCAAATTAACTGCAAAAGTGACTTGGGTTTATGGATCTGAAATTTTTCTTATAGGATTACACATGGCTGTTGATCATTGCAGTTTAAAAAAAAGGGGAGTAATTCAAAAAGTAGCTAACTTGACTTTTGCCAACGTACGTCACTTATGGAGAAGGCGAGATATCCGTCTATCAATAAAAGAACGAGTATACTGCGCGGCAGTTCGTTCTGTTTTACTTTACGGCAGCGAAACATGGCCTTTAAGAGTAGAAGACACTCGTAACTTACTAGTATTTGATCACAGAGGTCTCAGAAATATTGCTCGTATCTGCTGGGATCACCGGGTAAGTAATAGTGAGGTTAGACGCAGAGTATTAGGGAATGATTGTAAATCAGTTGATGAGGTTGTGAATCTTCATCGACTGAGATGGTTGGGCCACGTGTTACGTATGCCTGAACACCGATTACCACGACGCGCAATGCTGACCAGTGTTGGGGATGGTTGGAAGAAAGTTAGGGGCGGCCAAACCAAAACGTGGTATCAGTTCTTGAAGTCACTAACTTGTAGTCTGAGCCATGTCGGTAGATGCAGACTACTTGACTGGGGTCCGTGTGACTATCGTAATCAATGGTTGGAGACTCTTGGTGACATGGCTCAGAATCGGTCACAATGGCGTCGGTGTATATACTCCCTGTCTTCCCTTAAACTAAGAGATTAAAATCGCTCCATATCTTTCTTTCTACGAACTAATTCTATATTCCGGTACTGTATCCTTATATGCAATCTTTCTCCTATATATTACCACCATTGACTTGATCACTCCTATGAATCCGGTGTTCGTCTTGTTGTGCTGATGCGGTATGGCAACTTGGACTGATGCATATATGTGCCTGGTTCTACGTTGTAGCTGACTGACTAACTTGACTAACGTGGCTTCTAAGATATTATAGTCTACAATCTTTAGGAATACCTTATCGTTTTGCGAAGGGAATTATTTCAGTTTTCATCATTGATTTGATTTACCTATCATGTCATCATCAGAATTCTATCTTGGTAATACTAGTTATTTGTTAGCAAATACAGCGCGTTCACCAATTAAAGGCATTTTTTCTCTGACTTTAGGTAGATTTTGTTTTAAGCTAGAAATATTATCCAGACTTCTTAGCTGAAGCGGCTGTAACGGATGTTGCGATCTAGCGGTTAATAACTGGTTGTACCAGGGAATAGTAGCTTGGTAGTTAGAGGAATTAAACCTAGAGCAATTCAGTCACACGTCTGAGTCTCATTCTACTTGTTTTTTCCCGAGTAATCTCTCAGTAAGGTTGCTACTCAAAGCTGAGTAAGTAAATTACACTTGTAACTAGGGTATTTCCTATCATGATACTAGCAACAAACTATAGTTTTTTTGACTGAAACGTTTATATATTTAGCAGCTCCAACTCAACTTAATCGAGCGAACCAATAAAGTGGTCGACTCAACTTTGTTTCAGTTTACTCCCAGTCACCAGCCTTTGGGAGACAAGTATATTTTCCGCTGCTACCAACGATGATATAATAAAAAACGTATGGGTATTTGTGGAAGTTTTCGTCATGGTATCACAAGCCACCCACTGATAACAGTACTTAAGGGAGGGAGATTTGAGTTTCCATTATGAAGAGATCTTTTCTTAACACTATCTTCATACAGAAACAAATCATTATGGCAAACTCGAAATTAATGTACCCGGAATTTCCTCATGTAAATTTTTCGTTACCTATTTTCCTCGATAAATAAAGATTTCGATGCATCACTAACAGAAATCTGTAATTTTGGAACTTTAAAAACAAAGTATTTTGGTCCACTGATATTACACTTAATTTATTCATGGTAAAATCAATAAATTAATTGAATGGTTTTGTAAGACAATTCATCTTTTTTTCTTGTATGCAATTTACACTAGAATGCAAATTATGTAATATTTTTAAGATTACCAAAAGTAGATTTATTGATGTCAATGCTTTTTAGCTGGCGTGGATCTGATGAACGAATGGAATTCGGAGTGCAAGTTATTATGCGTTTTGCTCGTCTAGATCCCCAAGCCTGCCAAGATCTAGTACAGACATATGAGTTGTATGGTAGTCGCAAGTCATCTAGTTTATCGTTGGATAAACTCATTCAAATACCATTAGCTGAAGATAGTTTACCAGTTCATTTGATAATCCAAGTAAATGGTCGGCCCATCCAACTCCCACCTCTTTTACCAAGTAATCGTCCAGGAATGGATGGACGTCGTAATCCTAGACCTATTAATATCACTCAGTCTGTAAGTATATTTGTTTATATTTATAATTGAGACATTTGTCCGTAAATTAAATAGCGATTTCCATTGATTAATATGACATTAGGATTTTTTTCGTAGATTAGTCTATTATTGTGAAATCTTAAATGACAATAAAATCATGAATTATATTTTTGGGGAAGGAGTTTTATGGTGTACTGATTGTATATACTTTTGTTATCTTTGAGTTGTGAAATAAATAACAAAGTGTGGGATCGTTATGTTTGAAAATGTTCTAATAATCGTGTATTTCAGTTGTCGGATATAGAATAAAATCTTTCATATATATAACAGAGAAACAACTAACCTTTGTTTGTTAGCTTGGAAAATATTTAGAATTGATGAAGAAATCTTTTGAAGCTGGTTTCATGGTTGTTATTCTTCAATTGTAATCATAAAGCTGGAGGGTGGTTTTGGTTACAGACAAATTCATGAACTTTTTAACTCAGAATAACTTTAAAGCTATCGTACTCACCATGACACCTAAAGGTTTTGGGTTCGATCCTAATATATATATATATATATATATATATATATATATATATATATATATATATAGTTTTTCACTGAGGGAATAGTTTTAGAATTTTTCGATTTCCATTTACTCACCCATTTATAACGCTTGCTTAACTCTTCAGGAAGGGTTAACTTCATTTTTATTTAAGGCTATGACGTGTAATAATCTGAAAGATAGACTTCAAATCTATCCAGTCAGATCATAATGAATTTGAAATTATCTTGTGCATTTTTTGAAGTTATCATGTAGTTGAACCGTCTTGATGAAAATTATTTGATGGAACTGGGAATGGTATTTTGATTTTGGATTAATTTAAGATTAACTTGGATTTTTTTCTTAAACTTTCTTATTTATTAGCTTCATGTTTCCCCTACTGTTCCAAACTATATTAAATTAACTTGGACTCATGATTATTCTAGCTATACTTATAATGTTGTTGGAATATACTTGATGCGTAGACGTTCGCCTCAACAGTTATGTGGTCTTCTACATTCGACTTCATTTCAAAATGCTAGTGTAATGAAAGTAAGTCTCTGTCCTTGTTTGTAGACGCTTCATTATCATAAACGTTATTGCCAATCGAACATCAGTGCTTTTCATCTTATGTATTTTATTTCACGGTAAGGGGGTTGTTGTGTTAATTTGGGCCATTGTTTTTTGGGTCTGCTCCCCAACTAATTGTACATTTAAACAAATATATTAAATACCGATTGAAGCATTTGTGTAGGTGATTGGTTAACAAACTCTCTTATTACTTAAGACTGATTAAATTATAAACAAAACCTTTGTGGTAGCCGTATTTGGACCGTTGGTTTTAGATTATTTGTCCAATCCGTCGGTAATCAAGTCTCTCAAACTCATTACTAGTTGTCATTTTTATTTCAGTTATTAAATACTGTGTATAATTTTCATTTAGAATAAATATTAAACTTGTCTTTATAATTCATCGCTTTATTATTCTTAATCATAACTGCTTGATTAACTCAGATCAATCACAACTAAGTGGAAAACTGTTGATAGTGCAGTGATTAAAATTGTTTTAGTAGAATTTCAGAATATACAAGTTGCAATGATTAGGTAGCATAAGTGTCATTTTAATCACAGCTGTGACCGTTTATCTTTTTGTGGTCCATTATCTGACTCCAGTTTGATCGTGTGATTATCATTAAGGAAATTTACATATTGTCAATCCATGTATAAAAATTATCGGCATAGATCGTGTTAGTGAATAACGAAGTTAAATAAGTCAAATACGAGAATTAAGTTTGAATACTTTTATTTTGTACAATCGTTGATCAAGACAGACAATCAGAGAGAAGTAGCGAAAGAAGCGAAGAGGAGAGAGCGAAGCGAAACGGACTGGAGAAGGCATGTGAACCAAATCAATTTAACTAAGCATTGCTCAATATTTATAGACAGACAAAAATAATTTATAGATACGTAATGAATAAGATAAGAAATGCACACATACGCTTATATAAAAACAGTCAAGGTTGATAAGCGAATAAGTGACAAGGTCAAAATGTGACTCAATAAGAATGAATGAGTTGGCCTGCTCGAAAACTAGAATACGGTGTGTGGATTCGACATTTCACCCGACACTACAATCTTCCATTGGTCAGCACTAGGTATTTTGGAAAATTTTCCTATTTTGCCTGTATTATTAGTCAGTAATAATTTTGTTTTACAAATATTTATTTAATTTCCACTCAGATGGAAATCATAAAAAAACTTAGCCCTAACGCTACCACTGGTAATATTGGTAGCGTGAACAACCAAAGTCAGTCTTTAGCCCGTAATGAGAATGACGATGATGATGACGACGATTTAGTTATGCCAAATACACTTCCTGTTCAACTTCTTTGTCCTTTATCTAAATGTCGTATTGAAGTACCTGTACGTGGACGTAATTGTCGTCATGTTCAGTGCTATGATGCAACAACCTATCTGATAATTAATGAACGTAAACCAACTTGGAATTGCCCTGTATGCGATGGTAAAGCTGTTTACGAAGATTTGATAGTTGATGGGTGAGTTTGTAAAATCCTTTAGAATTTGATTTTACTATACCAGTGGTAGAAATCAGACAAGGGTAGTTTGAGTATCGTGTTTTGTGTATGAAATGTATGCCGGTTGGTTTATTTTAGCCAAATCATTTCTACTTTGTCTTGGTTTTAGTCAAAGTCTGTCAATAAAATGAGACCAATAAACTAAAAGTTTCTCTTGGTTGTTGCATTGTTTGCTATCGGTTTTTGCATTGCTTGATGGTGTTGTTTCTTGCAGGAAATAATAATAAAGGTGTAATAGGTGCTTACTTTGTGATTTATTTCTTTATGAACGAATGCACTGTCGACACATATTATTCATAATAAAAGACAGCATTCAGCTAGGCTGTGTATATCTAAAATACTCAGAAGTATTGGAACAAGGACGTCTAAAATGTAGTTCATGCAAATCCTATAATTTCAGCATATCAGGAACAGGTTGGTGCGAAACTGACCAATACTGACTGTTTTGAGCGATTTCTAAAATGACTTTCGTATTAACCAGTCAGTCAGGGTGAAACTTTTGTAGATGAAATGGACATTACGAAAAAAATAATTACAAATAATATATTTTCGAGATGCTACCAGCTTAACTCTATCGTCCTAATGCAACACTTCTAGCCCTAATAATCTTAAAGCAACTTCATTCCTGGTCTTTGTGCTTTTTTGCATATTATATCTTGATAACAACCACATAAAACTCCTTTAATCAATAATCCAAGATTTCCGTAGATGATCTACGTCATATCGTCTAAATTAATCAGAATACAAAATCTCGTCAAAGGCATGATATCCGGTGGTAAGATATCCGTAATTCCATTTTAAAATTCGTTCATAAATTTATCAATTGCTTTATTCTGATTGATCAATTCGATTTGTTTCAAGTCTGTTAGTTTAGTTCTACCACCCTAACCAAGAACAATGTAGAGATTCTCAAACATCAGCCTAGATCCTTATAAGGGTTTTGGAAAACGGATAATGTTCATATTCGGCAGATTTTTATTCCACAGACAGAGTAACGCGTAGACGACATTAATAGATTCATTAACTATGTAAAATCTCTTTGTAATTTGTTAGATTACTAGTTTCTTTTTATAAAAGCTGTCTTCTAATTGGCTGAAAACTCGTCGCGATTCTCTCAATTTCTTACCTATAATAAGACTTCTCTGTTGTCATATAGATGAATGAATGTCGTGCAGTATTCAAGAGGCTCTATTTAATTAGTTTGTTCAAAAAATATAATGCCAACGAATCGATGTTTCTTTCAGGACTAAGTATTTAAGTTTGGGATTTACGGATACTGTCGATTCGCCTGTTATATTCAATGTACAATGTGGGCGTGAGATAGATTGGATTAAAATATGTTAAGCGCTAGCGGAGACTTGGAGAAGACTCCAGAATCTTATGTAAACATTATAAATATACTAACGTTTTTCTTATTGTGACTCTTGATTTCATCCAACCTTTTTATTTGGGACGTAATTACGTTCCTGTTCAACCGTGTTCTGATTCGGGGACTTGTCGAGTGAATTGGTGTCCAAGATTACTACTAGAAGTAGCTGGGTTGAAATACGAGAAGGAAAGTACAGAGAAGGGACTGAGCCTTTGATACGTTTGGTGCTTTCATTCTTAGCATATGGTGACATAAATAAATCATTGTTATTATTTTTCAACGCTCTGAGGATTATACAAGGATAATTTTACTGTATGCGATATTGTGCCCATAACCTAAAAGTTATGTTCTCAATTCCGGCTAACTGATCCCTATATCATACCTTTGCCGTGAATTCGCACGCCAATTTGAATTATAACTGAATTGTCTACTTATCCTTCAACTTTGTGAACCATAGGTTTAAATTCACCATTTATATGTTTTTACACAATCCGATAGTATACCTCTAGGTTTTAGAAGATAAGCGTAGGTTGAAGCTCAAAAAAATATAAGCTTCCCTGCTGTACTAATTTATTCGATAGATAGCTCAAAACCAGAACTAACCACCACTAAGCAATTTGAACGTCCCTCATTTGTTATTTACTATGCAGTGGTTATAACGATCGATGATTTTGGAAGTCTGATCAGCCCTAATAGGTCAGTGTCTGAAGAAATTTCAGCACGGATTCGAAAGGCTCGTTTGGCTTTTGCCAACGTACGTCACTTATGGAGAAGGCGAGATATCCGTCTATCAATAAAAGAACGAGTATACTGCGCGGCAGTTCGTTCTGTTTTACTTTACGGCAGCGAAACATGGCCTTTAAGAGTAGAAGACACTCGTAACTTATTAGTATTTGATCACAGAGGTCTCAGAAATATTGCTCGTATCTGCTGGGATCACCGGGTAAGTAATAGTGAGGTTAGACGCAGAGTATTAGGGAATGATTGTAAATCAGTTGATGAGGTTGTGAATCTTCATCGACTGAGATGGTTGGGCCACGTGTTACGTATGCCTGAACACCGATTACCACGACGCGCAATGCTGACCAGTGTTGGGGATGGTTGGAAGAAAGTTAGGGGCGGCCAAACCAAAACGTGGTATCAGTTCTTGAAGTCACTAACTTGTAGTCTGAGCCATGTCGGTAGATGCAGACTACTTGATTGGGGTCCGTGTGACTATCGTAATCAATGGTTGGAGACTCTTGGTGACATGGCTCAGAATCGGTCACAATGGCGTCGGTGTATATACTCCCTGTCTTCCCTTAAACTAAGAGATTAAAATCGCTCCATATCTTTCTTTCTACGAACTAACTCTATATTCCGGTACTGTATCCTTATATGCAATCTTTCTCCTATATATTACCACCATTGACTTGACCACTCCTATGAATCCGGTGTTCATCTTGTTGTGCTGATGCGGTATGGCAACTTGGACCGATGCATATATGTGCCTGGTTCTACGTTGTAGCTGTCTGACGATCGATGACAAGAATATTTTACTACTTTCGCATTTCTAAGCACGTTCCAAATAATTTAAGACTGAGAGGCATAACGGCTCTAATTAGTACAGTAGCTCGGTATTTAATTGAAATCGGGCTTACCATTGACATTTTCCAATCCTTCAAAATTGTCAGTAGATATAAAAACACAGCGCTTCTCCGGTTTGCCGGAGCAGTAGCGATGAAACAACTCAGACCTAATTTGTGTCCAGAAAGTGACATTAATCAACTTATCTCTACTTTAGTAAACTTATGGCTTTTGCTAATATCACATGGAATTATTATTTTTTGTTATTATCCTTACCATTATTAGTGTTTATTTTGTTATGTGGTCTTCATCAAACTAATTTTTTTTATATACACTGAAATCATCCTCTTATTCATCGATTTTTCTCAATTCACTCGATTTTCTAAACTTAGAGAAACTTTAAATCTTGTTTAATTATTATATAAACCTTCAGTTTCTAATTCTAGACACTTAGTCACCTCACTGCTCTAAATCTTCTATCTATACTTTTAAGTGATCTAAAGCTTCTCTAATTATCACACAACCTATTTTATCCGTTTCTGGACTTCATTTAATTGCTGCCTCACACCCTCATTTTCAAATGACCTCACGCCTGTTCTTGCATATATGTATATATAGTTATCATTAATAGTCTTTGCTATTTTAGTTTTCTTCCCGTCTGTAACGTTAATTGTTTCACATTATATCATAACTCAATGTTACATTTTAATACACATCAATGGTTGTAAACGGTTGATAAGAAATCATGAAATATAGTGAATTTATTTTATTCTGCCTTAATTATTGTTTTGACTTGGTTCGAATTCGTAAAGCACACCAATTTCATGGAACTTTTTTTCAAGTCTATAAAGATGTATTTTTTCTTGTATACTTATAATCTGTCAAGCTGAAAATTTCGTTTACTTACTTTTTCTAAAAGTTTATTTTTAGAAATATTGAATTCTAAACGTTCTCAAGATCTAGAAGAAATTATATTTCATTCGGATGGTTCTTGGTCGGCTCTAGGCGAAGAAATGGCTTCTAATCAATCAGAAAATACTAATGATAATAATACTAATAATAGTAATAGTAGAAATCGATCTGAGCCATCTCCGTGTACTGATTATAATCAATTATATAGTTTACAAGAAAGCCCTTATGCTTCAAGTCACATTACTTCAAATTCAATTAGGTCAGCTACTGATTCAGCTGGTTCTTCTTCATTTGTACCATCATTTAATACTTTGTCTCCTGCTAGTTCAATAAATTCGTTGTCTAATCCAAACAATTCTTATCCTAATACATTATCAGTGTCTCCTGCACTTGCTGTACGAACTGCAGCAATTACACCATTGATAAGGAATGATGTGGACAATAGTTCTGTCCCAAATACAACAAAAACTACTTCTACTACTAGTACTACCACTAATACTATTTATCAGGCCTCGGTTACTGTTCAATCTTCGCGAGATAAAGAGCAAAATCAGTATATATCCCAAGAGGTTTGTTCTCTGTTTATATATGTACTATGACTTATTATTAGTTTACTTTATTGAAGGAGTGATGAGGGGGGTGGATGGGGGAAGATTTCACACATAATCTATAATTTTTAATATCTTGCATTGTGAATAACAATTATCAAATCTATTTTCATAGTCATAATCTATTGAAATCTATATTTATAAAGTTCACTATATAATAGACGTGTTTAATAATAGTGATATTGTGGTGCATGCTACTTATACTGATACAAGTAATATATGACGCAAGTCAGGCATGTAATGTCTGGCAGCAGAAGATGGGGAAGATCAAGAAAGTAAGAGCGGGAATAGAAAGCAATTAGTATGGAATTGCAAGAACAACGAAGTTCGAGACAATTATTGAACATTTTGCAAATTAAGTATTATAGTATGGTTTTTTCTGTTTTTACCAAGTAACTGTAATTTTATCCTAAATATAATTCAGTTGTCCTTACTTGTGTTCTCCTTCACTAGAATTAGCATATAAGAAAATAATATTGGAAATTTATTAAATTAATTAATTATTTATCAATTAATCTTTTATTTTTAAATAGATTGAATGAATTTTACTATTTCAACTTTTAATATATTTTTATTGTTTATTTTTATCGGCTAGAATAAAATCAAAATTATTTTGGGGTTCTTTTTCTTCTTCTTCTTCTTCTTCACTTTTATCATTTTTGTGTATAAGGAATTTTTCTCCATTTTATGTTCACATATCATCTGCACAATTTAACTTTAGTTTAAATGTTTGATGACTGTTTTTGATCTTTATCCCCCCCAAAAAAAAAACATAATTTCAATTATTAATATTCTTATTTTATTTTGTATAGATGCAAAATTATTCAATTTATGATAATCTCTTATCAATGATTGATATCATTTAGAGAATCTTTGAAAGATTAGGGATTTGGAAAATGCTAGTGATTTATTAGATTCTTATTCAATATATTAAGTAATATAATGTGCTCGATGTTATGCATTCAACTCTAGGTACACACTATTGAAATTTCTGAACAGTCACAGAACAACTAACTATATCAATGATTTGTGGTTTGGAATCACTCTCTAACCGATATTCGTACGTATTTTAGTTAATTAAAAAAAACTAATCTGCTCCTTTTCATTATTATTTTTCTTGATTATTTTTATCAGATTCCCTCCTTCACTATTGACTTAACATTATCTGATGATGAAAATGAACAACAGAGCATAAGTGCTCGAGAAACTGCAAGTAAGCGTACAAGTACAATACATTTTTATTCTGTATAATTTTGTGCATAAATTATAACATCTGGTACCTATTTAAGGAGTTGTGTTGTATGTAATTGAGATACTATCTTTGAGCTGTTGTTGTTGTGTATTAAGTCAAAATCTTCCTGTTTTATCCAGTATGCTATTTAGTCATCATGCTAATTGTTTATGATAACATGGATCAACAATAATATTCGGGATCAACAAACTTTGTTATCATACATTCAGCAGAAAGTGAATGTAACGCTCAATACTGTTATCTTCTAGTTTGCATTTATCTATGTTAAAGGGTAGGAGAAAACAAACAGTAACTTGTGTTTGGATCGAATCTTTCATAATTATTACGTCATGGACATGTTTTAATACTACCTTTAATTTAATAAGATTCTAATATTGGTGATGACCAACAAATAGGGGACTGAGTTTGCGAAACATTTAGGGAAGATATGTAATCTGTAGTGGCAGGCCCCGTGTCGAGCCCACATAGGTTGTTCTAGTTTCTGGATAGGCCAGTTCATTTATTCGTCTTAAACCACATTTTGACTTTGTCACTCATTCGCTTATTAATCCTGAATGTTTTTATGTAAGCGGCGTATGTGTGCATTTCTTATCTAACTCATCACATGTCTAACCTATTTTTGTCTGACTATGAATATGAGTAATGCTTGGTTAAGTTGATTTAGCTCACTCGCCTCCTCCATCACACTTCATCCTGTTGTGCTTCGCTTTCCGACCAATGATTGTACGAAATATACGTATTCAAAATCCACTCTTGTTTTAATTCCGTTATTCACCAACGCGATTAAACTCGATTATATACTAGGATTGGCGACATGTATATATTTAGATTTCATCAGTCTTTTCGTTTAGGCATTCTCATAAAATTTGCTTAAATTTTTATGACATCACTTACTTTATCAATGTACGTATTGCTGATATTATAGATAAAGCTTTTCAGCTATCTGTTTTGAAAATGGCATCGTATAAGTTCAATTCCCCTTTTTCTTCTCACATACACTTACCGTAACTTAAATAGTTCTGCTTGTTGGACGTACATTTTTTCCGTGGTTCTTATGTTCTTTTTTTAACTACATATTTCCTTACTGTACGATTATACGGGTTAACTACTTGTTCTGGATACTTGTAAGTAGTTCCTCCTGGTTGATAATGCTTAAGTTTCCCATAATCTATTAAACTTGATCACATAGAGGCAGTTAAGTATTTATCTATTACATTTGTTACATATTTCATTTATAGTTTATAATTAACTTCTGCACTATTCAAGTGATACATAATAGTTTCATTTTGTTACCGTTTAACCCAAAGAACCACGCTTATTTAGCTGCATATTATTGTATGAATAGAATGAACATATTTAGGCAAAAAATTTCAAACTAAACATAAATTGAAAACCAAGACCCAAGTAAATGAAAATAAATCAACTATGTTAAAACTAAGAGTTTTCATCTTGATGTTAGTCATATAAAGTCAATGGTTTATTCTTAATATTTTGACCAAAATTATCGATAAAGATATTTTCAAAAAAATTGTAAGACGATATTACAAGTTTCCATTGTTATAGGAGCTACCCATTAAAGTATGTTTAGAAATGAATTATCATATCCTTCAGTAAATTAATTACATTTGTTCGTTTATATCAGTTTAATCTAATTTTAGTGTAAATTTTATTCATACATATATGATATTCTAAGACATTTACAAATGTAAAAGTTGTTTGTAAACATTAACCTATCTCCATTAAAACATTGCATAATTGAATATTATCATTATGAACTTGTTCTATTATCAATTATATTAAGTTTTTATAATTTTTTTTTACTTATTCGTTTCTATATAGTGAAAATTCCCATTTTGCCATTTGGTAAATAAAAAAGGAACGAATTGAGCGAAGAAATTTCTTTTCAATTAGTTTTTCATCATGGCTCTACACTAATATATATATATATATATATATATATATATATATATATATATATATATATATATATATATATATATTTATCAGAAGGGGTTTGTGGAGATTTTAGAAATTTTCACAGATTTAAATCATGAGTCAGTTGAAGCTAGACCACCATTGAAAACCTGGAAGCACTGGACAGCCGTTTCGTCCTAGTATGGGACTCCTCAGCAGTGCGCATCCACGATCCCGCACCACGCGGGGCTCGAACCCAGGACCTACTGGCTTCGCGCGCGAGCACTTAACCATTAGACCACTGAGCCGGCATCCAACGGTGTTAATGTCTAACTTCAACCAATCCACGAAGTCGCGCCACCGTACACCATTGTCTTCAGTGAGCTGATATCTCACAACAGACCTGGTTGAACTCCACTGGTAACGGCTTCCCACTAGAACTCCAGGAGTATCTCTTGAAGTCAGTCACTAGTGAGCAGATGATTATTATCAGAAGGGGTTTGTGGAGATTTTAGAAATTTTCACAGATTGAAATCATGAGTCAGTTGAAGCTAGACCACCATTGACTAACTTCAGGAGACACTTTTGGAGTTCTAGTGAGAAGTCGTTACCAGTGGAGTTCAACCAGGTCTGTTGTGAGATAGGAACTCACTGAAGACAATGGTGTACGGTAGCGCAACTTCGTGGATTGGTTGAAGTTAGACATTAACACCGTTGGATGCCGGCTCAGTGGTCTATTGGTTAAGTGCTCGCGCGCGAAGCCAGTAGGTCCCGGGTTCGAGCCCCAGGTGGTGCGGGGTTGTGGATGTGCACTGCTGAGGAGTCCCATACTAGGACGAAACGGCTGTCCAGTGCTTCCAGGTTTTCAATGGTGGTCTAGCTTCAACTGACTCATGATTTAAATCTGTGAATATATATGTTTCACAATAATAATATAATACTCATCGAGTAGATACGTTACGTAATAATTACATAATGACATTTAAATTAACATTCAGTAATTGAATATTAATAATCCTCTCTCTTCCAATTACTGAATGTTAATTTAAATGTCATTATGTAATTATTACGTAACGTATCTACTCGATGAGTATTATATTATTATTGTGAAACATATATATATATATTAGTGTAGAGCCATGATGAAAAACTAATTGAAAAGAAATTTCTTCGCTCAATTCGTTCCTTTTTTATTCGCTTCTGAATTCATTTTTTAGCCAATAGATTTACATCTAATAATTTTTAATCCTTATATAAATTTACAATGATCATATCATAAGCTTAAGTTATTTTACAAATTTTGTTTATAGAAGAACATATGATATATTGAGTAATATATTATAGTAATTTCAATAGTTGAGATCATGAATCAATTGAAGTTAGACTACCATAGGAAACCTGGAAGCACTGGACGGCAGTTTCGTCTTATTGTGGAACTCCTCAGCAGTGCGCGCATCCATGATCCTGCCTCGCGAAATTCGAACTGCTTAGGAGTTCCACAATAGGATGTAACGGCCATCCAGTGCTTCCAGGTTTTTCATGGTGGTTTAACTTCAATCGACTCATGATCTCTATTTATTTTATTTATTTATTTTAACATATATATATTGGTAAAATGAGGCACCAAATACATATGCGCTAGACAAATCTCATTCGATATGTGTGAGGGCTGTGATACTACCCGGGCGCCCAAACCGAAGTAGGTGGTTTTCTTAGGGGACCACACCCCGAGCCTTCGGCCTGAAGGTCTGATTCACAAGGCAGTGGAGCATCGTAAGGAGATGCAGTCCCACGGAAGCCGGTGACCAATAATTGGTTCATACGCCATTTGTTCCCGCAGGATACTGTAGCCCATGTGCACCATTGGTTTGGGACCCGGTTAAAGCACCGGACATTCGCTTTTCGTCCTTTCATTTTTGTAAACAACACCCGGCCACGAGAAGGCAGTGAGTAGGACTTCCCTGGCAGAGGCTATATACGTGTGACCATGTGAGAGCATTTCGAGAGGGAGAGCTGACTCTCCATACCCCATAGCACGAGGCCTCGCCGAAACTATTGAAATTACTATAATATCCGCAAAAAAAACCTGATATTATATTATATTCAAGATTTGAATTTCGTTTGTTTGGTTTACAAAAGTGTTTTCCTTTTTCTTTTCTTGTTGTTAAATTAAACCTGATTATTTTATTCAATAGAATCTTTTATTACATCATAAATCATATAGATGTGTAGTTTTGTAAAGTCAATTAGAAATATTTTGATTGGTTTTTAAGAAAATTAACTGGGAATTTTATTAATCATTAATTTTATTCATATTAATATAATAGTTATCGTATTAGATTCGATTATTTTCTTTAATTTAATATATTTAAATAAATAAAGAATTAATTAATTTTCTATTATTAATAATATATATTCTAAAAAAAACAAAACAAAGTGATTTGTAAATGAATCTTCTTTTTAATAATCAACAATTTTGTGAGAATTAATTGATAAAATTCGACGAATTTGTTTAGTATTCTAATGAATCTATAAAGATTCGACTATATTGTAATTCATTAGATCATTCAGCGGTTATTAAACTGTTTCAAATTTAAAAATAAATAACTTATAATTTCGATGTTCATTTAACTATTTTTCTCTCTTTCGAAATGTTCCATTGAATTCTTTCATTTACTTCGGAAAAAAAAACTTGAAAAATAATGGATTTTTTCCTAGGTAGCATTCAAGCTCCTACAAAGGACAATAATTCTTCTTCGCGTCCTATAAATACAGTTACATCGTATTCTTCTTCTTCATCATCGTCATCATCATCATCATCATCTTTATCACCACAATTTCCTCCTAGTGATTTATCTCAATCTTCGCATTATTCTGAAAATTATCAACTTCCATTCTCATCACATACGAGTAATAAACCGTCTTCAATAGCATTATCAAGTACTTCTAACTCTAAAAGTTCTAATCAGTCGAGTTCCATACCTCTTGTTTATTCATCAGAACCAAATTCCACACAATCAGTTAGTGTTAGTCAAAATCTTGGAGTTCCTAATGTTTCTGTAACGAATGTCCCTTCAAATCAAAGGCGTTATCCTCTTGTTAGCAGTGAACAGAAACTAGTACAAGGACCGGCTACTAGCATACTTTGTTCTGCTACTAAATCAGATGTTCCTGTTAGTTTACCTTCAATTGGTAAGCTTTGTTTTTATACATCACGTGTAAAACTGGGTTTCAATTGACAAATGTCTTTTCGATATTATAAAGACTGCCGAAATATGGACTCCACGTATCCAATCTATTCACTTGTTACAGACGTGAATAAACTTTTTCACTCAAGGGCTGCACAAACCCAGATACTGTGTCTGTAGGTTTCATATGGAAGATGCCAAAATGTTTTTCATTACGCATCTGATAAGTATCATTTAATCTTCCCGATTACTGCTTATACTCTTGCTACCTCTACCACTACGGGATTTGAATCGACCACTGCATCTCTGTGCTAATGTGGTATGGCAACTCGAACTGATGTACGTACGTACTAAGTTCTACGTTGTTACTGACTGACTGACTGAAGTATCATTTATTTTTGAAAATAACATATAATAGCCAAGTTATCAACATTAATTTCATTTCATCAATGGATTATGTGCAACTAAGAAGATTATATTGTTATGAATAACAGAGCGATATTATTTTCACTGCAGTGTGAGTTATTTACCTGAGAATATCAAGGGATTGTCCGCATTTATTTAGGTGTCTATGTAGGTACTAACTGGAACATTGTTCTGTCTTTCTTATTTTTTTTTAATCTTCAACATAATTTCATCACACTTTTTATTCATACTTATTTCGGCTATGATCTCTGCAAACAACGTGCGAAGCAAAGACTGTCATTATTGATTATCCTAAAAAATATCATGTTAACTTATGATAGAAACTGGGTCTAAATTTGATACATTGACTTACCTTTTACTTGTTATTATCATTGCCTCAACGACTGGGTTGATTGACTCTTGTGATGGAATAAAATGATAACGTTATTTCGGTCGATAGTTTTTCGTACCAATTTACTATCAATTTCCACCTGGGTGACTGGTGTGAACTTAGTGTGTGACGTTTTAAAGTCAATATTTCTGGTGTAAATTCAGCATGAACTTCTTTCAATATGACGAGGGTGAACTTTCGTTCCGTGTGACATTTATGTTCCCTGTACACGTGAACTGTATTCAGTGTGTGTTTTTAAAGTAACTAATTATTTTCCTCCATATGTGATATTATTAGGCGTGTGTAAAAGTTAGAATATAAATGATTGTTTTTGGTCTAACGAAGACGTGATTTTATAACTTGTTCGTGGACGTGTTTTTGGAGAGTCAGTTAATTTCCATTGCACCAGGCTTTCGTGTTAACTTGCGTCATTTGAATTGCTATGGTTCCCGATTGTCTAGTCGAAAAGCAGTAAGACTGCGGACCCAACTGAGGCGATACGCACGTAGCAGCGATGACACACCAGACATAACAGCGTCGACTCCAGACGTAATAACGATATTAGCACCGCAAAAGATAGATATACGCATATTATTCTTCAAAATGACTTATTATTTCCCTCACTCTACTTCACAAATCATATTTCTTTGCAAAGATGTCATATCGGTAAAGGTTTTACTAAAATATACCGACATACATCATAGGCATTTATATTAGCCTTATACTAATAATTAACTATTGTGTTTCTCAGTCACTTCAGCATCATGTGGAAGTAAACGTCCAAGCTCATCAGATTATAATTTTTCATCGTTGAATTTCTATCAATCTGGAACTCAATCTGTAAGTAATAATAATGGGTTACGTTACAGTTCAACCGTTCACACTACATCTGTTTCAAATGAATCCGGTCAGTATTCTCTTCCGATAGCAAAAGTACCTCGGATTGAAATTCCACATAGTCAACATTATGGATCATCTTCAACGCAATCTCAGGGATCCTATTCTAATAATAATGGTTATAATAATTCTAGACGGTGTACAAATAGTCCATCTGGTTCAAATTCGTATACATATCATTCCAATATAACTCGACAGATGCCATCTGATGGATATCATAGCAACAGACTTACGTCGTCAACATTCCATTCAGGTCAATCTTCCGATCATTTTTATCCCAATGAACACACAACAAATACAAGTAGTCGATATACATATTATAATCCTAATGAGTCTGGCAGTAATAATAGTAATACTAATCGAACATACTGCTATTATCCATCCTCAAGACATGTTAGTTATCCTACATCCGATTCTGGAACAATTTATCCATATAATAGACAACCATCATCTCATATTCGTAGTCCTTATGAAACTCACCACAGAAATGTAATAGTAAGTTCTACTTTTTTTGAAATTTAACTGTTTATTCTAGAAAGAAATTTACTCAATTTTTTTAAAATAGTACATTACGATGGTTGTTTTTGTTATTCTATTTGTAGTGTATAGACCTTTTAAGTTAACTAAAGGTTTTATCAGTTATTCTAACTTTTTTTTCACTTAAATTGTTTTACTTTAGAACAGAATTATTTATCAGAGGTATCGTTTGAATAAGTTTTCATTTAGATGTCTGTATTTAACTGTTTTGTTATAAAGGATATAATTTAATTTATCAGTAGTGCGTATTGATGCTCATACATTAGTAACATACAATATATTTGTGTAATAATTTCTTTATTATTATTCATTTAGAATAGCTCTTTGCCAAGAGATACACTTCATCATAATTCACAAATGAGGTCTTCTGATATAACTAATTCAACATATTGTGGTAGCTCAGTTGACTCACGTAGAGGATTTCATTGACATTGCTTTAAAATCGGTAAATTTCATGTGAATAACATGTTTTATTTTAAAAAATTGTACATTCATTTCATTTTAGTTGTGTTGCATAAGTTTATAATGCTTTCATTTAAATTATGAATATATAAAATATAATTAGGTTTACAAATAGTTATTCCCACCATATTACAGTACAAGCTATGTAAGTTTTCTGATGGATTTACTTCAACCCATTACTTAACGGAAATTAATTAGGTATTCTATTTAGTTATATAAATGTATTATAGTTAGATTTAGACTATCGTGGCAAAGCATTGTAACAGTATTCAAAATTAGTTTTTGAAAATGTCGACCGTGTTTTCTGGAATATGTAAATAAGATATTATTTCCTCTGTATAATTCTTAGATGAATATATATATACTGAAAAAAGTTTCAAAGCTGGAACAGTAATGGATTAAGGCAAGCTTCTGTACTTCTTAACAATACAACAGAAAATTATTAGGATTTTTAAATGTACATAAAAAGGGGGTTCGAGATTTATTGTGTGTTTCATAAAAAATGAATACTGCTGTACGATTTCGTTGGTATTCTAAGGACCCCAGATACTGGGATATCCCAATAAATATCTTTTGCATTTTTCTAGATATTCGAAATTAACAGCCATTTGTTCTGTGAGTCGACTTGTTATCTCCGTTTAAAACATACTTCAAGCTCTAATGAAAATTAATGCTACGGTCTTACTGTGCATAACGTGTCTAATTTATTTCAGTTATAAAAAGAAAATATATTGGTAAATTATTTGCTTTTCTTATTCATAAATCCATTTTCAACTTCACGATCCTTTATTCATTATTATCATCCACATTTACTGACTCCTAAACTTCCAGTGATGTCTTCATTTTGACAGATCCTAGGAAAACGGGCTACTACCATTTGTATTTATAGTTGGATGCATCGCCTATGAATAAGGCTGGTAAAATTTAATCAGTCTACCACTATGGTTTAGATCTATATGTTTGGTCGTTGAACTGTATGAACCCCAGTGTATCTACCTCAGTTTATAACGTCGAATAATATCTCTAACTTTCGTTTAATAAATCAGATTCAAACCTTGTTACACAATTATGTACTTGGTTTTATTAACATTCTTGAAATCCATTAAAGTATATTACCTGATGTCATCTCATTGATTGAGTGTGCCTAAACTTATAGAGTATGTAAGGTAGATAAAAGCCACATTCATTTCATTTCCTAATATTAACTTAAGAATTAATCGTCAATATTATTGTAGGTTTTCTATGAATGTATTATTATTAATTGATAGTTTTATTAGTGTAACTGTATTATCTTTTTAGATTTTCCTGATAAAAAAAAGAAGATAACCGTTTCACATTATTTCTGACGAATTTTTCTTTCTCTGTTAATTGAATGTACACATTTTTCAATAATTTACTTTCTTTCTACCTTTTTTTGTCTTAAACAAAAGATTGATTTGTAAATATCATTCACTTTTGAAGATAGACAATAATAACTCAATTGGTTCTTGCCTTTTCTTTTTAATGTATAACAGAATTTACACAGATTACATTTGCATTTTCTTTTCCATTTTGGTTTTTCTGTAAATGATTTCTATTTTTATGTAGACTACTTAATAAATAAACTGTAACAGGATTATTTATCTGTCGTATATATACAATTAATCTTTCTATTTTCTACTGCTCACTGCTGTGACATTATGTCAACTGACGAAGTTTAGTAATAAAAAAAGCATGGATAAATCAAAAACTATAATTCTTTTTACTTCTAAATATTTCTTTACTCTGTATTTGACATCATTCATTTTGGTTAGACAGCATACACTTGAAATTAGGATTAATATGTAGATGTACATGTATCTTATCAGCGCTATTTTAAACTTCAGCACTCCAATTATGGTACATGTTACATGAAGTTTCCTTATAAAGGGCGCCATATTTGTTACCGCATTTTTCTATCAGATTATTGTTCACCTGTTGTTAACTAGGCTTAATAAATGACCAACCAATTCATTATATATAGTTTTATTTATCTACCTTCTTGTTGTATAAAATACAGTTATGTCTATTATTATCATTATCATTTTATTCATGCTGTCTCTCTTCAATTTGATTGTAATCAAATCTTAGTGAATGTTTACGTATGTTCTCTTGTTTATGTTGAGTTTTATAACTATATTCTTTGTAAATGTTTTAAAGTATTAGCGTATTTCAGTTATGTTTATTCAAGTGAAACACGTGATTTGTATAAAAGAGACTTGAACTTGTATAAAACTAGTTTCCTTTTTCTTTCATGTTTTATGCTTACTGGATTGTTGTTTTCATTGTAAGTTTTTGTGCATGGATAATTTTAATTGATCCACTTCAGTTATATCTAGGTGCGGTTTTTGAGTTAGAAAGCAGTAATTGTTTCTCATGGATATGTTCACTAAAACGTCTACTGAAATCATTATGCATTAATCATCAATAAAAATTAGTGATCTATTGCAGCTCTTGGTATATAAGCGTTTAATTTTCATCATTTTATGCCTCATGTTATGTTTACTTCTACTTAAACATCCAAGTTGTTTCACTAGCCTCCGCAGTACTTGTAGTTCATTTCTAATTACTTAAACCGGTCACTAAGTTCCGTCAGAATTTAATTATGTAGTTTTTTATGCAGAGTACTATCATTCATTATTCTTTGGATTTAAAAAATGTTATACTGTGTCATTATTGCGGTTTGTTAACTATGAATGTTTCATTTGCTGACTGTATTGATGCTTATCTGGAATCCACTGTAAGAAAGTGTGCTTTATCTGTTTGAAAATTTCGATTCGATGATAAATTTACCAAGAACTAAGGCTTAAAGTGGTTTCATGTCAGAATGGCATTGAAGATTAAGGCTTTAGTCGATATCACTAAAGATATGCATTCATCATAAATCCAATCTACAAATCTTTATCCCGCGTATAATTATTTCATCTCTAAACCAACGTTTTTTGCTTTCACCAATAACACGCCTTAACGAGATGACGAGATAACAATAACTCCTGTTGCTATAACATGCCTATTCACACAATGATTGGGACTATTAGTTATAACAAATATGACTGAAGAAAATCGAGTTTCATCATTTTTTTAAAAGGAATCGGGAACATCCTGCTAACCGAGTTGTCAAAGACACCGTTGTGGTGTGTGCTACTTATATTGACATAATTAGTATATGACGTTAGTCGTGAACAGAAGATCTGATAGCAGAGAGACAAGAGGATCGAACAGTAAAGAATAGAAACAGGATGCAATTTGTATGAAAATGTAAGAACAATGAAGTCTGAGTCATTTTGAAACAATTGGTTGACATTTTGCAAATTAAGCATTTACTTTGTGATTGTTAGATTCTATTAACAAGTCATGTAATTGTGTGTTAAGTACATTCGATTGTCCCCACTTGTGTTCTTAATCACTACACCGTTAGCTAAGATCTCATATTTTCTAGATTTTTACTCATTTGTTAAGTGTTTTCAATAAATTCAAAATAAAAGAATTGTATGTACCATTGACCGTGTGGTGTGTGCTACTTATGTTGATAGATATAAATAGTATGTAACGCCAATCGGAAGTGGAAAACATGGCAACAGAAGGCTATGAAGGTTGACTTGAAGAAAATGAAAGCGGAATTAGAAACGAATGATGAATCGGGAGAATCACACAAAACGTGAAAGACAAATGTTGGAAATTTGCAAATGAAGCATTTCATTTATGGTTCTCATAATTTGCCAAGACTTTCTGTAATTTTGTATTAAAATGCTTTTGGTCGTCCCCACCTGGATCTTTGTTAATCACAACTTATGAAGCCTGTGCACTTTGAACAGCTCGTCCATTTATTTTAGTTTGAAGAAATATGTTTAGGAGTTGTAGCAATAATATTCTGTACTAGGTTTACACTCTGATTCAATATTTTCCTAGTAGCCATCTTTCGCTGAACCTATTTACATATCTACATTTCAGAATATTACGTTGTGACGAGCGGTATCCGCACTCTGATACTGATATACACGGTGTGCTATGCGCTAATCCCGAAACTGAATACTTGAGTGGGAAAGTGTATTGGGCTACCGAATAAAATGCCCAAATACTCATTCATAGATATACCACTCTGATCCTTAGGAAATTGATCCATTTCTTAGCTAATGATATGGCTATATGGTCCGATGGATAAACGTTTGTCAGGAAGTAAACTTTTAATTTACAGTTTATGTTACTTAGGAAAGTAGATACCTACTTCTGTTGAACACTTACGTAGCTAATGTATTTTTTGTCTTGTTCAACAGCTAAGATATAAGGTAGCAATCAATCTTTTTCCACAAAAGTTTGTAGATAATACCTTTGAAATCAGAGAATGACATTTATATATGTGCGTATAGTTTGATTATTCGCATTGCTCAAACATTCTTACTACATGCTACATAAGATAGTATGTATGTATTTATTTATTTATTTGAACACATAAATATTGGTACAAGAGAGCGCCAATATATATGCGCCACACAAAACAATGAAAATTCGAAGAGAGATAGAAAAAGAAAAAAAAACGAAGGACCACAAAAGGTAGTGTGGTCGTAACGATGGAACAGAAAGGTACAATCAGAAGAAGTCTTTCAAGTAAGGGAGACACAACCACTATTATGAAGAAAGTAAAAGAAGGTTACAGCAGGATCGCCACTGTCTTCTATTCTGAGCCATATCTGATAACGTCTCTAGCCACTGTGTAGCACCATCTCTCAGACCCCAACCAGGGAGTCGTCAAGGACCAACACAAGCCAGTCCTTTGCAGCTTTCTTTCATACCACGACACCATGTCATGCAGTGACCACCTCTCCGCTTTTTCCAACCAGTCCCAGAGTCGGCAAATAATGCACGACGTGGGATTCTCTGGGATGACATTCGTAGAACATGTCCAAGCCACCGAAGTCAGTGTTTCAAGATGGTGACATCGATTGCATTATCATCTCTGTGCCCGAACACACGATGCCGAACCTCTGCATTACTGATATGGTGTTGCCACTGGATGTCAGCAATCCTTCGGAGACAGCGACGATCGAACACAGAGAGTCTTCTAACGTCCTCAACTCGGAGAGGCCAGGTTTCCCAAGCATAAAGCAAAACTGCTCTCATCGACGCGTTGTAGATCCGACCTTTTACAGCCAGATTAACATCACGAAGGCGCCAAAGATGGCCCAGATTGGCATAAGCCGCTCTGGCTTTCACTATACGTGCATTGATCTCATCACTCACGCCACCACCAGCACTTATGCAGCTACCTAGATACACGAACTTCCCAAATACTTCTGTCTGGTCACCACTCAGGTTGAGTACAGGATTGGAATCCTGCCAGTCTTGTAGAAGTACTTTGCACTTCGAAGGTGCAAAGCACATACCATACCTACGGACACTGATTGCCAACTGATTAAGTGCAGATTGCATGCCTTGGGCATTATCGCACAGTAAGACAATATCATCCGCATACTCAAGGTCGAGAAGTCTTTCTCCAGGCAACAGATCCACACCACCATTACTTACATTCATCAGAGCTGTTTCCAGAATGTTATCGATGGCAAAGTTGAAGAGGAATGGTGAGATTGGGCAACCCTGCCTAACCCCACTACTCGAATGGAACAATGGAGAGAGGTGGTTGTATGCCCTCACTCTGCCTGAGGTGTTTTTATATAGGGCTTTTAGGATGTTAATAAACTTCTCAGGCACACCCTTCTTCAATAGACAATCCCAGAGAACAGTCCTGTCCAACGAATCGAAGGCAGCCCTAATGTCAAGAAACACTACGATTGTTGGCCTTTGATAAGTATGGCGATGTTCTAACATTTGGCGGAGGGTGAAGATATGATCAAAACAACCTCGACCAGAACGAAACCCAGCCTGCTCCTCACGAGTCAATCTTTCTCGGGTTTTGAACAACCTACGAAGTATGACGGAAGCCAATAGCTTGGACGCAATCGGAAGTAGACTTACCCCCCGATAGTTTTCACAGGAACGACGTGAACCCTTTTTAAAGATAGGGACAACTATCGACTCATTCCATGACGTTGGTACACTCTCTAGTTCCCAAACCTTTGTAAACAACGTCGTCAATTCCTTAGTCAAAAAGTCACCACCATCTTTAAAAAGAGCCGGAGGTAAGTCGTCTGGGCCAGGTGATTTGTAACGCTTCAAGAGTTGGAGTTCCTTGCGGACTTCCTCCTCGTTTGGTGGATCAGTCGTCACCGGCCATGGAGGGCAGGACATTCTGACCGATGTTGCCGGAGCAGCAGGCCAGTTGAACTGCCCTTCGAGAAATTCTGCCCATCGTCCAAGACGTCGATGGATGTTAGTGATTGTCATCCTCGCAGATTGTTTCACTCACACCAGACTTCTTGCTGCCAGTGGCTCGGATGAGCTGGAAGAGCTTCCGGTAGTTACCAGATGCAGCTGCTGCTTCCAGCTCATTAGCACGCTCCGACCACCAGGCTTCTCTGTCCTTACGCAAGCTTTGCCCAATTTCCCTACGTAACATCCTTCGTTTATGGTCAAACTCACGGTCACCCGGAGTGGACCGACGGGCTTCAATGAGTTGTAAGGAACCAGAAGAAACCCAGTGCTTAAAAGCGGGACGTTTCGCAAACCCACAAATGACTGTTCCCGCCATTTTCATGGCGTCAAGCAATTGCAGCCAATGCTCATCTATACTTTTCGGTGGGGCGGTAGCTAGCCTAGAGGCTAGCTCGGTTCGATACTTACTTGCAACAGAAGTTGCAACCAACTTGCTGACATCAATCCTTTGATGGTGGTCACTTCGTTGTCCACTGAAAAGTAAGGCAAGATTGGCGCAGACCAAGGCATGGTCAGAGTCCAGATAGGTACTCCAAAAGGAGCGGCAGTCTTTTACACAACCACGCCAGCGGTAGCTGATCGCGATGTTATCAATCTGAGTCCAGGCTTGGGATGCAGAGGGAGGACGCCAGGTGGCACATCGGCGATGACTGTGCCGAAAGTTAGTGTTAGCCAGAAACAGGTTGTGGTCTGTGCAAAGTTGCAGTAGACGGTCCCCGTTATCTGACCTGCGACCAACGAGTCCCCATCGGCCACCTAAACGACTCTCTTCTGTGCCTAGACGCCCGACCTGAACATTCAAGTCTCCGGCTAGTACTACAATATCTGTCGAGCGCACTTTCTGGAGAAGAACAGACAGCTGGTGGTAAAACTCATCCTTGATTGCATCCGGGCTGCAATCTGTCGGGGCATAGGCGGAGATG